GTTCAATTATTATATATTTGAGAGGTTACTGTTCCCCGTATATTTAAACATGAATATTGAGTATTTCAATGTTCCTTAGTGTAGGTGTAGCTCTATGGCAGCATGGAACCACAAAAACAAATAGTAAATCGTAAAAAGGTGTGAGAGTTTAGCTAGAACATTGGAGTTTGAAGAATTAACAGAGTTTGCTTTCAACAACTTATCATTTTATTGATATTCAGTGGGTGTCCCTTGAGGACTGCGAGACTGGAATTCTCACAAGGTTCTTAAACAGCAGGCTGCAAGTTTCTTCCGTCGTCGGAAATTGCGCAATGTTCCAACCCAAGTGTCACTTGGATTGTAGCTGAAACCATGTTGCTCCACATGAACACCACAATCAACAAAAATAGCACAAGTAATAACATGGTAATTATTCAAAATCGACGAAATTAACTTTATAAAATGGAACAGGCCACAGTAAAGTTGCTAATGCATGTATAAGCAAAGTCAATAAGTAATAACAAAAGTATGATTATTATCAAATGTTTGAAAGTCTTGTCTTAATTTTCTCAGTTACCAAATACCAATACACCCACTATTGATTTCGTCGGGTTCACATGAACAATTTTTTGATCACTTCTAAGACCTCCTTCAACTTCTTGATATCCATTTTCCATGAATTTTTCTTGGTATGCGTAGGAAACAAAAGAGTGATCTCCAAAGTCCTGACCAACCCAGGGGCTGGTCCAAAGTCAAAGGCCTAACAATGGTTTTTCTGTTTTTTGGGCTATTGTCTTCGGGTCATCATGTGAATATGATCAATGACTGGTCAAGCAGTCAAAGAATGAACGCCTAGTTACAAGATTACACATAAATTAAATGAATGACGACTTAATTCTACCTTAATTTGTAGAGATTAACTGTTATTGTGATGGCTTGAAGCGGTGACGTTTTATGATTAAATGAAGCAACTTCGTTTTGAGCAAATGGGGAGTTGATCCTGAGCATTGATTAATTGAAGATCCAACGGTTCGAATGAGTCCCTTGGTCAACCATATAAAAGCATACCAACAAGGCAGATTGAGAGCTACAACGTTTTATATCTCTCTCTTTTTCATCGAGCAAAATTGGGTCTGTTAGGGTTTACTAATTTTGTGGATTGAATCTTGTAACTGGGGATTGAGTAGCTGGTTTCAGGTCATTCGGGTGTATTAGTATACATAGATCATTAGGGATTCCAAAGATAGGGTCTCTAGGGTGAATTACAAATTTAGAGAAGGATTGAGGGGTTTGATATACTGTGTGTAATATGAACTAAGTTCTTGGTAAATTTTAGTGCAACGAGCTTGCTTGTTTTTCGAGCTTAACATGGACGTAGCTTACTCGAACTGAGTAAGTGAACCACGGTAAATCTTGGCGTTCTTGTGTGTGTGTGTGTGATCTGTTTGATTCTTTAATTTGCTATTTCTTTAAGGCGTGAGATATAACATTAACGACTTAGGGCTGACATATTTTCCCAAGGAGATTGTTTTGGTGATTAGAGATTAATCTTAAGCACACTACAGTTTCACTATATGTTGTTAGACATCCTTTAAATCTGAGTACTTGGAGAAAAATAAATGATGAACCATGTTTCTTTCGCATTCAATTAAGCATGTCGATTGTTCTGACAAAGCCCAGAAGGTGTTGATTGAAGGTGATTAATTACTTGCTCCCTTACAACCGCACGCTTGGGCTCCATTCTACAGTTCCAAACAGTAGCCGCCATTCCCAACCCACCACCACAATTACAATACCAGAAGCTCACAAGAAGCCGAAAATATTAGCCATTCATTCTTCCTTGGCGTTTTCAAAGCCCTGTACAATCATAAATGTGAAGAAATCATCATTTCAACATGGAGAGGGAGTGTTGTGCTTGAGTTATGTTAATTAAGAACAAATTAAGGAGATGATTAGCTTAGCTAGCAGTTGGTTATATAAAATGGGTGGGAGCTTAGCTGTGAGAAATATATCATAACTTGAAAGTCAAAAGTAAAGATGGATTGTAGTTTATACATAATAATGAAGATGTCCCACTTATATATATATATATATGTGTATATATATTTTCTTTGTTTTGTAATTAGGTTATGGTCATTAGTCCCCCACTTATTCATCATTCGTATTTGCTTTTGCTTCCAATATAAAATCTTTTTCCCTTTATTTTTTTTATAATGTTTATGAGAGCAAAAGTCATGAAAGCAACGTTTTGGTTTTGGTATTAATTATAACGACCTCTCCAATTAATTCTAAAGTAGTGACAACTCATCTTTTGTATATATATATTAACTTCACGAACATACATTTAAATTAAGAAAATAGTTATTTATATTATTTATCATAATATCATATTCTAAGACACATAATTCTATAGGAGAATATTGATATACTATTAACGATATTTGTATTAATTTTTATCAACAAGACCTAATATGAACTAAAACGTCCAATAACCAACCCCTACGTGGCCAGATGGTCAACTAAGACTCTTTGATATATTACTCAAGAGGGTCTTACGTTCGATTATCTTCTGTTGCTTATAAGAGTGACTATTGGAGGATTATCCGATCTTTAACTTTAGGAGGTTGGGGCACCCTCCCTTGGCAAGTCGGTTTTTCAAGAAAAGTTTTACCCAAGCCCATGAAAGACCCATGACCCAGCCCAAATTGTTGAGTTATTGGAGTGCGAGATTAGTTGAGATGCGTGCAAACTAGTCCGGATATCCTTGATTACCTTGAGGTAGTGGCAGATCTAGGATTTTTGTTGAAGCGTTCGCGGCTTCGCCATTGTTTGTCAAACAACTAGTACAAACTTTAAAAAATACCAAACCTTAAGCAAAAAAAAATAATTATACAATATTAAGAACCTAAGAGAAAAGAATACAATAACATAATACTTTCTTGCCAGTAGCGGATCCAAGAATTTCTTTTAGGGTGGGCCAAAATAAAAATTTATTATACATTACTATTTTTGTCCATTAATTTTTTTTTTTAGGGTGGGCCAAAAAGTGGCTGGATCTGCCACTGTTTCTTGTTTGAATAAATCTATGAGAAGCAAAAATTTGAGTAAATGTGTTGAGTAAACCTTCAGCAAAACTTCTTTTAATTTTTTTTATTTTTGGCATCCAAAGATTATAATATAAATTTTCATAACTTTGATCAGACCTAATTTAAGCTAAAGTCAACTAAAACTTAAATTAAGTCAACATTGCATTGACTTTTAATATGAATTAATTAAAAAATGGGGAATTTTCTTGGTATAAACATAGATAGTAACTCAAATTTTTTTAATAATTTTGAGCAGCTGAACGATGACGTTTGAAATGTAGGAAAGTGGTGGGTGAGGGTGAAGAATAATGTTCTTTAAAATATATTTAAGGTTTTAATTTGGGAAAATATGTTCATTCTTAGACATAAAACACAAAATATACTCACAAAATCCATGTTTTTTTCCCTCAAATTAGAATAAAATACCTCCGAAAAAAAAAGCATAACTCAACCCTAAAATAAACTAAATTCAAATAAGCAATACACATATCTAAAACTAATAAAATAGAAAACGAAACTAATTGTGATACCTTAAGTAGTGAAAGCTTCAACAATTTCAGTCTTCAAAAGTTTTAAGAGCGAATAGAATGAGAAAGAGAATGAGAGAGTAAATAATTTAGAAGATAAAATCATAAAAAGCTGGTGAAGAAAAAGAGTTGAGAAATTTTAAACTTTTAATATAATGTGGGCTTGGAATGTATATATTAATAACAAGTTTTTCGTGGACCTAGATATATGTATAATAGTTTTCATTTTTTTTAAATCTGAGGGTGAGTCTGGGTATATATATTAATATCAATTTTTTGTGGGTCTATATATTAATAATTTAAAAAAAAAAAAATATGAAGATAGGTCTAGGCCTACTCTCAAAGGGGTTGGATCCACCCCTGCCCCGAGGGATCCGGATATCCTTGATTACTTTAAGGGATTAATTGAGATACGTACAAGCTGACCCAGATATCCCCGATTATCTAAAGAAAAAAAAAAGACACTAAAACGTCCAATAAAGAAAATAAAATCTACGGATAATAAAAAAGGATTGATGAAATGACATGCAAATATCCTAGTAATATTTGGGAATCTGAATATATTTTCCTAATAAGACTGGTGGATGGATGTGGCATTTTTTTATGAGTTAATTCAGTTATTTTATACTATAAGAAGATATAATTTCGTAGAAAAGCAATTATGGGCAAAGTCAAGTTTTACCCTTCGAAAACTCGAAATTATAGATTGATTGGTAAAGATATGTCAGTCAAGACCCTATCTTAATGTTACATAAAATGATTAGTCAACTCATTTGATACACTTTATTTGTTTTTTCATTCTATCGTATATAAATTAGAAGTAGAATTTCATATTAAAATCATTTGGGATATCATATGAATATATATATACGTATCTTAAATCCAGGTCAGTCTGGTGATCAAAGAGGTTTACTCATATCTTTGAGTTTCTCGATTCAAACTTTAGGGTTATATATCACAATAACATTATGATTTATCTGATCATTTGAGTTTGTAAGGTGTTCAATGGACTTCGAAGATTAGTTGAGATACACATAAACTGACTCAGACACCTCGATTATAGAAAAAAAAAATTCCATAATGTATTTTGTAGAATGGTAATTGAAGAAAATTCCTATTTATGGAAGAGTATGCTTAGGTAAAAAAAGATATAAACATTAAACATTTATTGCCATGCATTATTTGAACAAGATGGCCAACCCATGATTTCATTTTCCAGACTACTGCCCCCACTAGATATTATATGAATGAATGGCTTATGCCTCTTCTCTAAATTGAATTTCAAAAATTCAACATTGTAATTCCAAAACTTTTACACGTGTATTCATAATATTTTAATTTAATTTATCAGCTTTTATAACTTTTAATTAACGCATTTGGAAGCCGCTAATCACTCTTATAAGGTAAATAACCGACAAAAATTCTTTCTTCTAGCTTACTTTGTCCTTTCCATGTTCTGTCTTTCTCTTCTGCCAAAAATCATAGCGCCTCCATTCATTTTCTCAAGAAACAAACACAAACCACCAAACCCCATATTCTATAAAATTTTAACTCAAACCTTAACCTCTTTGTTTTCTCTTTCTACACGCCAGAGAAACAAAAAAACACTTAATCAAACCCTTAAATTATAGTTTAAAACTTTACTACTTTACCATGCAATTCTTATTATCAACTTTTCACACCTAAAACTGATTCTAATCTTGTGTTTTTAGTGGTTTCGTCAATCCAAATGGGTACTGCAACATCCTCTATGGCGGCGAAGTTCGCCTTCTTCCCGCCAAACCCTCCGTCGTATTCCATAATTGTCGATGAAGCAACTGGGAAACTCAGGATCTCAGATGTCCACCAGAGAGACGACGTGGATGTTTTGAAATTGAACACCAAAAAAGGAAACGAGATTATTGCTTTGTACGTGAAGAACCCATCGGCTTCACTCACTGTGTTGTATTCTCATGGAAATGCTGCTGATCTTGGTCAGATGTTTCACATTTTCAGCGAGCTCAGTGTTCATCTTAACGTTAGCCTCATGGGGTTAGTTTTTGTAAACTTCTTCTTTTTCTTTTTGCTCTCAAAACTTCATCTATTAGAACCATGTTAAACACATGTTAAGGAATACTTTCATGTATTTGATGCAGTTAGGTTTTTATCATTTTTATATTATTATTTATTTGATCAACTATTAATGAGAAGATGGGTGTGATTTTTTGTGCTAATTCAGGTACGATTATTCTGGGTATGGACAGTCTTCTGGAAAGGTATATTCCTGTCTTTTCTGTCTTGGAACTTCTAATGTTTACTGCAACATATGAGGCCAAACACACTTTAGCACGTGTCACTGCCGGAAAAATATGTAAAAGTCAAAGGAGAAAGAAATATAAAACTCTCTCTTTTACATGTAAAATTGTGATGTTTTGGGAAAATAGTACTGTTGATTTGGGTTTTAGCCAAAAAAGAAATGCTGATTTATGTGTGGCAATTAGCCAAGTGAGCAGGATACATATGCAGACATAGAGGCGGCCTATAAAAGTCTTGAGGAGAGTTATGGAGTTAAGGAGGAAGATATAATATTGTATGGACAGTCAGTTGGAAGTGGACCTGCTCTGGAATTGGCTACACATTTGCCTCGACTCAGGGCTGTCATTCTTCATAGTCCAATCTTGTCTGGCCTTCGTGTTATGTATCCTGTGAAGAGAACATTCTGGTTTGACATTTACAAGGTTTAATTATCTTCTGTATTATGCTTTGTTTGGACCATATGTAGCTTAACATTTGATGATTTAAGTTGTGAAATTGTGTTTGTTACTAGTTGATACTTAACCTCGTTGTTTTTAATTTCAGAACATTGATAAAATTCCTCTGGTCGACTGCCCAGTTCTGGTAATTCATGTGAGTTCATTTGTCCTTCAATCCCTTAATTTCATGCCTGAATCGTGCATATTTTACAATGGAGGATAAACTGGCTTGTTAGATGCATCATATATAGCCTGATTAGTGACCAGTTTCCTGGAGCTATACCAAGTTCACTTATGATTAATGAGGCTGAATTAAAAGTGGGGTTGCTTCATTGTTGTGAAGGGGTATAATTTTCCAATGATGTAATCAGATTGAATGTTTGTGGCTTTTATTAGTTAATGCAATAGTTAAAATTTTATCCGGCTTAGATAAAATTATCAGATGGCAGACAGTTCAGTCAAAACAGAGACTTGAGACCTTTAAAATCAGAAAATTACTAGTACTGCAGCCGAAAAATCAAAACGTTTCTGTGTTTATTATGATGTATTTTCCATTCATCAATTTGTATAACATTAATCTGATACCGACTTGAATGCCTTCTGTGAGTGCCCCATTTGACTTTGTTTTTGGTGTTGGCAGGGAACTGAGGATGAAGTTGTGGACTTTTCCCATGGTAAGCAGCTATGGGAGCTGTGTAAAGAGAAATATGAACCATTGTGGCTCAAGGGAGGAAACCACTGCAATTTGGAGCTCTTCCCTGAGTATTTAAGACATCTCAGGAACTTTATATCAGCTATTGAGAAATTACCCCGCCTTCGAAATGTATCTGAAAAGACAGAAGATCAACCAGATCAGCCACAGAACTCTACAGACCAGAAAACGGAGAAGTCAAGGCCGAGCACAGACCATAGAGAAAAGGGTAGGCCTAGCACTGGACAGAGAGAAAAATCTCGGCTAAGCACTGATAGTAAAGAGAAATCAAGAGCTAGTACTGACAAGAAAGAAAAGTTGTCAAGAAGAAGCGTGGATCGTTCAGGAAAGGCAAGGAACAGCTTAGACCACCCAGAAAGAGCTAGAAATAGCTTTGACCGGTTTGTTTTGAACTATCTGATACTCCTTTTCAATTGTGCTTATAGTTAAACAGTATAGCTGATTTCTTGATTTGTCGATTGCAGGTTTGGAGATATGGTGAGATCAGTTGGATTATGTAATGTTGATTGCTTAAGGCAGACAGCTGCAGAGGTTTGAGGTAGTTAAGAAAGTTCAATACTTACAGGCTTGTAAATTTCTGTACTAGTAAAATTTGTTTGAAATGTAATTGAATCCATTACAGTTTTTCTCTGGAATGTTGCTTTGGGTTTTGCGGATTGATTATCTAGTCAATGGAAAGGAACAGTGTTTTCTTTGAGGGAAAGTACAAATAATTGCAGCACCATCGAAGCTGAAAGAGCAGTTGTTTTATCATATAAGCTATTGTAAAGTTTGGATATTAGCTTATTTATTTATTAATTTATTTTCATAAATTCCACTTAGAATACTGGCGGAAAGATTTGTAATTCTTGAAGATAGAAGTTATGTCACTCTATCTTGAAGACCTTTTCACCTTCTAAAATTAGTTGGTGAAAACTTCTTCTAGCTTTACTGTCAGTTGAGTGGCTACTTATTCAATTATGTAATGCTATTCCAAATGTTGTTTGCTTTATCCTTACTGCTTTGATTAAATGCTTATATATATATATATATATATATATATGTGTGTGTGTGCGCGCGCGCGCTAAGAATGGAGGGGCGTAAAAGCAAATTAGAGAAATGGACAAACTCATATTTGCTCTCAACCCATCATTGTAAGCTTGACTTGAGAAGAAGAAACACTCAACAGGTTCCAAACTTGTGGAATTAAACTTGGTTTGTATTTCTCATCCACTTATTTACTAACTTTAAGCCATCCAGTTAAGTGCATGGAACATAATTCCATAGGATTGATGAAGTAAATCATCAATTTAAAATACAATATACTGTACATCTATATTCTATTTCAACATCAGAGGTCAAAAGTTATACCAAAAATTTGGTTATGAATCTTGAAAGATATATATATATATTCTGAAAATTAAAATTAAAAATAAAAACACAAAAACGGAGGACATTGTTTGATGCTGAAATGGCAGAATCTAGGCCTTAGAATTCCACGAACATAGCTCCAAAATACCACCCACAAGCTTTGTTTCATTCTTTCTAGAACCATCTACTCTATTCTTTTCTTTTCCCTTAAACCCCTTCATAGGGTTTTAACTCACTTCCAAGTTCCAACTTTCACTCCTATCTTCTTTCTTTCTCTTCAAACTCCTTTCTATCAAGTTTAGCCCTTGATGGCTCCGGTTCTAAGCAGAAGCTTAGCCACTGCCTCGCTAGTTTCACTCCCCTTTTCTTTTAAGCACCCCCATAACAAGCACTTAAATCTCAGAAGCTCTTTATTCCCACAAAATGGTCTCACNGGACAAACTCATATTTGCTCTCAACCCATCATTGTAAACTTGACTTGAGAAGAAGAACCACTCAACAGGTTCCAAACTTGTGGAATTGAACTTGGTTTGTATTTCTCATCCACTTATTTACTAACTTTAAGCCGTCCAGTTAAGTGCATGGAACATAATTCCATAGGATTGATGAAGTAAATCATCAATTTAAAATACAATATACTGTACATCTATATTCTATTTCAACATCAGAGGTCAAAAGTTATACCAAAAATTTGGTTATGAATCTTGAAAGATATATATATATATATATATATATTCTGAAAATTAAAATTAAAAATAAAAACACAAAAACGGAGGACATTGTTTGATGCTGAAATGGCAGAATCTAGGCCTTAGAATTCCACGAACATAGCTCCAAAATACCACCCACAAGCTTTGTTTCATTCTTTCTAGAACCATCTACTCTATTCTTTTCTTTCCCTTAAACCCCTTCATAGGGTTTTAACTCACTTCCAAGTTCCAACTTTCAGTCCTATCTTCTTTCTTTCTCTTCAAACTCCTTTCTATCAAGTTTAGCCCTTGATGGCTCCGGTTCTAAGCAGAAGCTTAGCCACTGCCTCGCTAGTTTCACTCCCCTTTTCTTTTAAGCACCCCCATAACAAGCACTTAAATCTCAGAAGCTCTTTATTCCCACAAAATGGTCTCACAAAGGGCTTTTCTTGTTCTGCTTTGAACTGCAATCTTCAGAAGAGGAACAATCGCCCCCTCGTCCGCTGTGAGGCTGCTGTTGCCGAGAAGGAGGCCGCCGACGCTTCTGGTGAGAAGTTTGAGTACCAAGCCGAGGTGGGTCTCTCTTTGTTTTTTGATATTTATTCGATTTTTATTTTATCAAGGCTTGTTTACTTTTGGAGATATTTTCTTTCAAGGTTATATAATATGTTTTATTCGGGTGTTATTTTAAAGTTCGTGGTGTACCCAGTTGGACGGAATTTTGATTGATTGGTTCATTTATAAAATAAATTGAAGTTGGGAGCTTTTTTTTTGTTTAATGTTTGAAGTTATCATAAATTTATCATTTTTCTCTTTTGTTTTCTGGAGAAATGACATTTGAGATGATTGTAGGTAAGTCGTCTCTTGGATTTGATAGTTCATAGTTTATACAGCCACAAGGAAGTGTTCCTGCGAGAGCTTGTAAGGTGAGGAAATGCACTTCTAATTAATAATATGATTTACTATTCGTTGTGTAATCCTACTATCACAGATTGAATTTATAGTTAATTTGGATTCTGATGCTGTGAGTTGCAATCTCATTTGAGATTAAGAACTTCAAAGTTTTTGGGGTTTTAGTGTCAAGGAAGAAGAATATCTTTCATTAAGTGTCATCTCTTGCTCATCATCCCTGACGGCATCTTTTGTATGTGAACGTATGGTTGTGAACCTTGCATTCTGAAAGGGGTTGAGCTTCAGCCTAGTTTATAAGCTTACTTATTTCTTCTATTTTGTGTTCCAGCAATGCAAGTGATGCTTTAGATAAGTTGAGATTTTTAAGTGTTACTGAGCCCTCTCTACTTGGAGACGCTGGTGACCTAGAAATACGCATCAAACCTGATCCAGACAATGGGACCATCACTATTACGTAAGCTTTTCTCTTGTTCTTTTTCACTTTTTTTCTTGAAAAACCAGTGGAGTACTAAAAGTTAGTTGCACTGAGTTTGCAGAGATACTGGTATTGGAATGACAAAAGAAGAGCTCATTGACTGTCTTGGAACTATTGCTCAGAGTGGTACTTCAAAGTTCCTAAAGGCTCTTAAGGTATTTGTTTATTGTTTACATCTGCAAGTTTCTTTGTGGATCTCATTAAGTGCTCTTTAAAGCTGACTTCTATGCTCCATGACTGTAGGAGAATAAGGATTTGGGGGCAGACAATGGTTTGATAGGTCAATTTGGTGTTGGATTCTATTCTGCTTTTCTTGTTGCTGAGAAGGTACCATATGCTGTTTCAGCTTACTGATAAAGTCTAACATTTTGTTATTTTGAAATTTAATTTAAATTCTGCTTTTCATCCTTTTTGTGGTAAGTTGGTCAGTGAGCTTGATTATATGTTATATGTGACTAGGTTGTTGTGTCAACCAAGAGCCCACGGTCAGATAAGCAGTATGTTTGGGAATCAGTAGCTGACAGTAGCTCTTACGTGATTAAGGAAGAAACTGATACCGAGAAGTTCTTATCCCGTGGAACGCAAATCACACTTTTTTTAAGGGTATTCTAGCCTTTTTCTTTGTTCCCTCATTATATTATTTCTGGATTATGTGAAGAAAACCCTTTTTTTTTTTTTTTTAATAAATGACTATGAGAAATCAAGAGTTTGATCTGATGCTTATAACTATAATTGTTATCATTGCGCTAATTTTACTTAACTTTCTCCTAATGGAGATTGCTTGCTGATGTTATAGTTGCTTCTTATTGTAGGACTGTGTTGCTTATTATTTAAAAAAAAATGAAGGATAGCCTTTCAATTTTTCGTGAAGTCTACTTCTTTTGTCATTCTTTTAATTTCTATTTTCTCTATCATTGCATATACAAAAAATAATTAAAAAAAAAATGTTGTGGGGCTTGAATTTAGCATTTTAGGAACACCAAAGACAGCCTAATAATTTGTTATTTGCTTGTAGGAGGATGATAAGTATGAATTCTCGGATCCAGCAAGGATTCAGGGTTTGGTGAAGAATTATTCGCAATTCGTTTCTTTCCCTATTTATACATGGCAAGAAAAATCACGTACCATTGAGGTGAGGACATTTATGCTCTTTGTTGTAGTACTATTATTTCCTCTGTCTAAGGTCCTTTTCTAGAAGAATTGTAGTTGTACAGATGGTTGGTTTTGTGTTGACTTAAATGCATGTTGTAGAGTAAGGACATAATGGTTGTTTCACTCTTTGTTTCCTTTCTTTCTTCTTCTTTTTCTTTTTGTCGTAGTGGTTGTCCAAATGTAGCCTGCCTTGATGTCTTGTTGAAATCTGCTAGCTATTAGACACATAAATGCATAGAGTCAATACAGGCATTTTTACTAAGTGGTATATTTTACTTTGTAAGAATGCATCTATTCTTGATCTGTTAATATAACATATGGGGTAACCGTTTTAACTCTGAAGTCTCTTATTTAGTTTCTGAACTTGTTTTATCTGCGCAAACAAGAGTTTTCTATTCATTCTTGTTAAATTGAAACTTTGGGTAGGTGGAAGAGGAGGAAGAACCCAAAGAAGGGGAAGAACAACCAGAGGTAAGCAACTTGTCTAGTCCTGACGGCGTTTGTTGCTCTAACATTTTCTTGGCAAGTGTAGTTTTTTACTGGGTTTATGCGTTCTTTTCCAGGGTGAAAAGAAAAAGAAGAAAACAACAAAAACTGAGAAGTACTGGGATTGGGAACTAGCCAATGAAACAAAGCCCATATGGGTGAGTGTAATATGTAACTGTTGTGTGAATTTAAAATATATAGTATTGATTTTTGTTTGTTATAAGAGTATTTAACTGGCTAGCATTTCTTTAAGTCTTCTTTTTATAAGAGTTTTTACTGGACAAGTGGGCTTATGTCTTATGTCTGTTTTCTCTTTGTTATAGCTGCGTAATCAAAAGGAAGTTGAGAAAGAGGAGTACCACGAATTCTACAAGAAGACTTTCAATGAATTTTTGGATCCACTTGCATACACTCACTTCACCACAGAGGTACTGGAAACCTCAGTCATGTTAACTTGGATGCTTATTTGGTTAGGAGATTAACTATACTTTGGAAGCCGTGCAGGGTGAGGTGGAGTTCAGGAGTGTTCTTTATGTTCCTGGAATGGGGCCTCTAAACAATGAGGATGTGATGAATCCAAAAACAAAGAACATCCGATTGTATGTCAAGCGTGTATTTATCTCAGATGATTTTGATGGAGAGCTGGTAAGTTTTGCAAAATAACGAGAAATTCTCTAAGTAAACTCTGTTTTTTGATTAATGAGGTTTATGTTCAAGAATGCTTGTTTTTCCTACTAGGGCATTATCTGAAAGAGAATTTGTATCTTTAATGGAAATGGAATTTATATATTACTATTTAATTAAAATCAGTATTGCTTTTTACATGAGATTGGACAATCATTGTCCTCCCTTATGTTTTGGCTAAAATATAGGCAGACCTAACTAGCTCTGAAACTTGTTTTTGGTTTATGTATTCATATCCACACATGTGAATGACTCTTATCTTAAAACTATGATTCAAAAGATAGCTACTCCCCTTTTTATTTTAGAGTAAGAATTAGAATGGAGAGTTGAATTTAGTGGGACATCTCAATGCATGCACACATTATATTCTGATTTCATGATAGGGATAACTTATTTGATGTTTGATTTGTAGTTTCCACGATACTTGAGCTTTGTGAAGGGTGTGGTAGACTCAGATGATCTTCCTCTTAATGTTTCTCGAGAGATCCTTCAAGAAAGTAGAATTGTAAGACAAGTTTCCCACTTTTTTTTTTTTTGTTGTACTTTACACAATTTTGCTTAAAGTAATGAAGAGCTTCTAGTCTTAAATTTTGCATTCGTAAGCAATGCTGTCTTGCTTATTCAGGAACAAATATATTTCTTTTTGTTTGTTATTCATTTCCTTATTTTTTCGACATACAGGTAAGAATTATGAGAAAGAGACTGGTGAGGAAAACATTTGACATGATTCAAGACATCTCTGAAAGTGAAAACAAAGAGGTTGGTGGCGACTAAGATGTGCATTTGCTCTTTTTTTTTTTTTTTTTTTTTCACCTAAATTATTTAATCAGAGAAATATTGTCAAACTGATTTCAGGATTACAAAAAATTCTGGGAGAACTTTGGCAGATTTGTAAAATTAGGATGTGTTGAAGATTCTGGTAATCACAAGCGCATAGCACCTCTGCTAAGGTTTTACACATCAAAGAATGAGGAGGAACTGACAAGCTTAGATGAATATGTTGAAAACATGGGTGAGAAACAAAATGCGATCTTTTACTTGGCAACAGACAGTTTGAAAAGTGCTAAGAGTGCTCCATTTTTGGAGAAGTTAGTTCAGAAAGATATTGAGGTATTTACTTAATGTGGATTTTACTGGTACTATATGAGCATAATAACTCTCGTTATATCATAGGCCGGTGTTGAATAAATTTTGTTTGATTTAGTAATTGAAAATTACTGAAGATTGAATGCTGAATAACTTTATTGTCTCCTTGTGATCTGCATGGTGAATACTAACTAACTAAAGGGAGGAATAAAGATGTAGAGCTAAAATAAGGTCTTTGCATCTGTCTTTTATTTATTTATTTTTTATAGTTAAAAGTATTTATTTGCTAGTCAATAATCTAAGTTATGGTTACTTTTCTTCTGCTTGTGTGCTGATAGTTAATGTTAGATGTAGTAGATGTTTCAATATTTGTTCTCTGGAAATTGATTCCATGTCTTTATTGTGGATTCTTACAAGTTATGACATTTTCACATTATCTCTCTATCAGTTTTTTTTTTTTGGATTGATGAAGTACGGTCATTTTGGTTTAGGTTCTTTATTTGATTGAGCCTATTGATGAAGTTGCCATCCAGAACCTGCAGACCTACAAGGAAAAGAAATTTGTTGATATCAGCAAGGAAGATTTAGAGCTTGGTTAGTTATCTTTTCCCACCCTTCTGATCATTTATTTGCAGTTTTTTTTTTTTTTCATGTTTTTTTTTTTCTTGGGGCTTTTGGTGTCCATTTTCTCTCATTGGACCATGTGATATACCAGGTGATGAGGATGAGGTGAAAGAAAGGGAATCTAAACAAGAATATAATCTTCTTTGTGATTGGATAAAGCAACAACTTGGTGATAAGGTGGCCAAGGTCCAAGTTTCAAAGCGTCTAAGCTCATCTCCCTGTGTGCTTGTTTCTGGCAAGTTTGGATGGTCTGCTAATATGGAAAGGTTAGTAATGGTTTTTCAGTAGTACCAACAATAGAAAGTCAACCATTGTATTATTAATAATATATTCCCCTTTTGAAGGTTGATGAAAGCGCAAGCTCTTGGTGATACTTCAAGTTTGGAGTTCATGAGGGGAAGGAGAATACTGGAGATTAATCCAGATCATCCAATTGTTAAAGATTTAAATGTAAGATAACACCTGCTTTATTTTTATAGATTTCACTCTTCATAACTGATATGCTTATCGCTTGATACTACCTTTTGAAGTTAACAGATGACAAGAAATGGGAAACCGGTTTGAAGAGAATCAATGAACATTGTAAAGCCTAATTAGAAACCTTCCTAATTAGTAAATAGTGATGGAATTCTTTCTATATATAGTCTTCTGAAATCTTTATTTGATGATATATTAGATGTTTGAATTGGAAGTACAAATGTTTACATTTGTGTTATTTCTCTGCTATCAGTACCGATTATATAATGGGCATTAGATCCTTCCAACCCAACTAGCCATTACATATGGAAGTACTGCTGTCAACTTGAAAAGTTAGAAAATATCATCTTTTTCCGTTAATGGGGTGGAAAGGGTTTTAGGGATTTTATGTTAACTCATTGGGTTGGAAAACTGTAGTTGTTTCTGACTGAAAAATGTACAGTGATGTGATTTATAATATTGTGATTTCTGAATATGCAGGCTGCATGTAAAAATGCCCCTGATAGCAGTGATGCCAAGAGAGCTGTTGACCTTTTGTATGATACAGCACTGATCTCTAGTGGATTTACTGTAAGGACAAACCAGAGATCTTTTTCTTCTACATTTGTGCATAATTTTGATTGACTTCAGGTCAACTCATTGTTTTCTCTAAATTATGCAGCCTGACAGCCCAGCTGAGTTGGGTAACAAGATCTATGAGATAATGGCAATGGCCCTTGGAGGGAGATGGGGCAGATCAGAAGGGGATGATGAGGCAGAGGCGCCAGAAGAGAATGCAGTAGAATCTGATACAAGTGCCAATGAATCCTCAGAGACGCAAGTTATTGAACCGTCAGAAGTGAGAACTGAGAGTGATCCTTGGCAAGATTAGAACTTTCTTTTAGAACTAGTAGAATAATTTTGGCATTATTTCATTGTTAGTTACAGAAACCATGCATGCTAGAGGGTATAAAAAGGGAGTGGGTGCGTGTTTGGTTGTTTCGGAGAAAAGAGGGATACTCGGGAAATTTTTGGGAAAAGAATGCTAGTGTTGCTCTTGCTGGTAATGATTTATAGTGTTGGGTGTACTGATGAAAATAGTCTTGAGATATTGTAGAGAGTTGCATACTATTGAATGGTTGGCAGAAATACAGAACACTCTCTGGTACTTCACTTTTTCTATAGATTGATTCTACAATTCTCAAATGCAATACCAAGAATGTTTATTAATGTTTACTAATTCAATAATCTGCCGGTTTGCTGATGTATACGAAATGTTAAATTTGTAAATACACATGATCTTGGTTTCTCAATGAACTCTAGAAGTACACTTGACAGAATTATGACACTTAAAGCTGCGTGATATTACTATTTTGGGACAACTTTACCCTTCTTTCGTTTTCTCTTTTCTTTCTTCTACTTAATACTTTTTTTTTTTTTTTTTTTTGTTATTGTTTGTATGAGTTAGGAGTGTATATTATGTTCGTTTAATATTGGTAAAAGTAAAACCAGTACATGTTTAGGGGAAATAAAAAGAAAATTTCACTTTCTAATACTTGAATTGTTCAAGTTTAAATGTTTAATCACTTCGAGTGGGGTATGATGATTTATTTCGTTTGAGTGGATCTTTTTGATCATTTATATAAGTAATATTGATATTTTACATTATATATATATAACAATAGGACCCGTTAAAAAAGTATTAAAAAGGTCTATTTCAACGAGATTAATATTATTATATTTCACTTTAGCGATTGGACTTGAGTGACTCTAGTTTATTCAAATTTGTTGGGTTTGTTCATCAATTTTTGGGAGAAGGGAAACCAATTTGAATTAACATAATTTTTTTTTTTTTTTTTGCTTTTTCTATATACTAAACTTATTTTTAACATTTCATATATATTTTGACACTAAATTCTTGCCAAAAAAAAATCAATCTAAAAGCTCTAGTATTATGTATTTCAATCTTAAATGAAATATATTTTTAATTTTTATAGAAGAAATGGTATATATGTAATTAAATGTGAAAAATAGGAATAGGAGTGTTCAAAAATCTTGTGGGAAATGTTGTTTACAAAACCATTTAAAAATTGGTTACTTCTTAATTTAATTTTTTTAAAGAGTCAAATAAGTAATTTTACTTAAATTTAGACGGCTTGCAGACTGTAGCTAGAACGGCACCGGCACCGCCTCATTCAATTTTATTCAATTGTTATGGTTTTAACCGTGGTGTCGATTTCATATTTATAATTTAAAATTTGTTAAATTAGAAAATTTATTTATGGATTTAAATTAAGGGCTTTTTGATAGATGTATTCCATACTGTATCATGTTCAAAAAAAAGTACAAAACAATAATTTGAGAAAAATAAAAAACAGGAAACTTGGGTATTGGGTCAAACCAACCCGTCTGTTAATTCGGGTCGTTAAAATGTCGGCTCCGAAAATTTCAATTGCTGAAAGAAGTAAATAACCACGCAGGTTTTAGAAGGGTTTTAAGGCGGCTGCAAAATTTTCATCCTCTTGGGATATTACTTTTCCCCGTCTTCTATGTTTTGGCCTCTCTATAGAGCTTCCTTCTGTTTATCATATTTTATCCAATTTTCTCTTCATTAGCAAATCCGGTTGTTCTTTGGTTGTTTATATCCCTTCGTCACCGTTTATTCGTTGAAACATGTGGCGGAATTTAGCCAAAAGAGCTTCTTCTAGGAAGATTAAATTGTGCTCCGGGAAATTTTCTCAAGAATCTAATTTTCTAGAGAATATAACAACTCCTGAGACACAAACTTTCTTTAAGGCTTCACACCCTCTTTTGGCTTTGCATCGAGTTACTGATTTAGCCACTCAAAATCAAAACTTCGGTCGATTTAGTCACACTCAATCTATCAACCCTTTTAGTGTTTTTAACCGTACAAGAAATTATGCAAGTGCTGCAGAGGCAATTGCTTCGACAGATGGAGAATCAGACCTTTCGGGTTCAGAAGAGATGCAAGAGTTGTTGGAGCAAATCCACAAAGAAGCTGACAATGTAATGGACTCATCATCTTCGTCGTTTGATAAGCAGCCGAAGAAAATGGTAGGTGGAATGGGTATAGGAAAGTACTACATATTAAAGCGTAGGCAAATAAAGATGGAGACCGAAGCATGGGAACAGGCAGCCAAGGAGTATCAAGAGCTTTTAACGGACATGTGTGAGCAAAAGCTTGCACCCAATTTGCCTTATGTTAAGTCTTTGTTTCTTGGTTGGTTCGAGCCTTTAAGAGATGCAATTGCTAAAGACCAAGAGGTTTGCAAGGAGAAGAAGTGCAGGATTTCTCATGCTCCCTATTTGGATAAGTTGCCGGCTGATATGATGGCCGTTATTACTATGCATAAGTTGGTGGGGTTGTTGATGACTGCTGGAGGAGATGCTGGTTGTGTTAGGGTGGTACAGGCCGCTTGCCAGATTGGCGAAGCGATTGAACATGAGGTGGGTAAGCTATAAATTTTCAGATTTTGTAGCTATTTTTTCTTAAATGGCTATTTCATGGTATTTTTTTTCCTCGATACATATGATCACTAAAGTGTGTGGTTGACAATTGAAATTAAAGCATTACTCTTTGGTTGTTTTAAATTAGGTATTCTATACTAATAGAAATTTCAATTTGTTCTGGTAGTAGAAACATATTGAGCTGTTTAATCTTGTTGATGATGTTGTTCAGGTCTCTCATAGCTTAGAATTGATTCTTCACTAGCATGTATTAGGCCTTGCCAGTAGTCGAGTTGGTAGCAATTGCAATCTTATACTTGTGTCCTGGTTTATCTAAGAGATTTTCCTCAATTTTGATCAGCCAAGTGAATATTAGGCTACGATGTCGTGATGCCAGAGAAAGAAATTGGCCAGTTTCCTGGTTTATTCATGAAAGCTTTAGGAAGACATGCAGCTTTGCTTGATTATAACGTGAATTCTTTTACTTTCACATAGCTGGTGGAAAACATCAANGGCATTCTATAATAATAGAAATTTGTATTTGTTCTGGTAGTAGAAACATATTGAGCTGTTTAATCTTGTTGATGATGTTGTTCAGGTCTCTCATAGCTTAGAATTGATTCTTCACTAGCATGTATTAGGCCTTCCCAGTAGTCGAGTTGGTAGCAATTGCAATCTTATACTTGTGTCCTGGTTTATCTAAGAGATTTTCCTCAATTTTGATCAGCCAAGTGAATATTAGGCTACGATGTGGTGATGCCAGAGAAAGAAATTGGCCAGTTTCCTGGTTTATTCATGAAAGCTTTAGGAAGACATGCAGCTTTGCTTGATTATAACGTGAATTCTTTTACTTTCACATAGCTGGTGGAAAACATCAAAGGTCCATTAAATATAATCTCTTTTTTTCTTTTTCTAAAGTCAAAGAATTGATACCAATGCTTCCGGCTTATATAGACTCTGGGAGGAGATAGGGAGAAATGAATTGATTTTCCCACAGAGAACAGGCCTTCTCTTTGTCTCAGAATAAGTGGATCAGGATCAGCTGCTGCTACCACTACGTGCATTTCTCTTCTGTGTGTTACAGCCTCTATTAATCTATTAAATGCCTCGTTGAACATCTTGAAGCCGGTAACACATTGAAAAGAACCTGCAGTCAGTAACCTATTTGTGGTGCTGCTGAAAAGCATTTATCTTGTGCTCAGTATTTCAATGGCTAGTGAAAAACATTGGAAAGATTCTGCTAACAGAGCCATTTTTTATTGTCAGCCAGGTTATATATAGGGCACTTCAACCTTTACCATATGCATACATGTCCTTTTTAAAACGGCGAAGTTTTCATGTCAAGCCCCTTATGTATGGAAGTGAGTTTTGGGGTTTATTCCGAATTACTCTTTTAACTGTAAGAGGAATGGCGATATGTGCTTCACCTGCTACTATATTATTGGTTCCTAATGAAGTTTAGGATTTTCCTTTTAAATGTTTGACAAACAAATGGTACCACCTAGCAATAGTTTAGCTCTATTGGAGTGCTTTTATTCTTTTCTTGAAGAGGTTGCTTTTCATTTTTATCATCTTTCTTAGAATATTTTGATTCTTTCATTGCAGTTGTTAAGGTGTGATTAGGAGATTATTGTTCAAACTGTGTATACAGATGTGAGTATTCCTTATTGTCTACAAAAATTCTGGCTGTGCAAATGAAGTTTGGAGTCAAATCTTTCAGTGAAAGGAATTTATGATAGTAATGATTTATGGTTTTTGCTGCCTCTACAACATATGTGATTGAGTCACTCTAATTAATCCTGGTTATGCGTAAATCAAAGAGTATATTTTTCCAGAAATATTCTAAAGAGCACCATTTGACATTATTTTTGGGTGCTGGAAAAATTTGCTATAAATTGTACTTATTGCTTACGTACAATTATATCTTATGTGGATCAGGCCAGGATAAACAGATTCTTGGAGAAGACGAAGAAGAAGAAGAATGTAACGGATAATAAATCAGAAGATATATCTGAGCCTCTGACCAATGAACTAGAGAATGTAACTAAAGAAAAAGAAAAATTAAAGAAAAAGGTTACTAGTTTAATTAAAAAACAAAAGCTGCATCTAGTAAGGAAAATTGTGAAGCACCAGGATGATTCCAAGCCATGGGGTCAGGAGGCTCATGTTAAGGTTTGTGATGTTCTGTGGCTCTAAATTTTGAAGTGTTTGCTGCTCGTCGTGGTTGTTGTTCTCCTTTTTGCTGTTATATTCTGATGCTTGCACTTCCCAGGTTGGCTGCCGTTTGATGCAGTTGTTAATGGAAACAGCCTATATACAACCTCCTGTTGATCAGTTCGGTGATAGTCCTCCTGATATTCGCCCTGCATTTGTGCACACTCTTAAAAGTATCACAAAAGACGCAATGTAAGAAAGACTACATCTCTGTTTCTGGTGCCCATCAATACTCTGCCCTCACTCTCTCTCTCTCTTAAGTATATTACAATGTTTACTTTCTCTGGTTGTCTATAATAGGAAAGGAAGGAGGTATGGTGTTATCGAATGCGATCCTCTAGTCCGCAAAGGTCTTGAGAATAGTGTGAGTTGGATACGTTCTTCTACAATGGCTCACTTTCATGCTTTTTTGTTTACTATTTTTTATTTATGGGTCGGGACACTTTGAAAGTGCCTCAACTTCTCCCCTAGTACTTACATATTTAGACATGAGGTATAAGTATGAAACTAATCTCTTGTTTGTCCAAACAGGCTAGGCACATGGTCATTGATTATATGCCAATGTTGGTGCCTCCTTTAAACTGGACAGGGTATGAATTTTAGATTTTGGCATTTTCCTTGTGACAATAATTGCAAGTTCTCCTTTATTTTATGCTTTATTAAACAACTTTTCTAGCTCATTTGTCTTCTTAAACAGTCATCATAGAAGGAGATGATGTCTTTTACCTCTTTCCACACTAATTGTGTATTTGATCATATGTACTCCCCACTGGCTTGGAATGAGGCTTGGTTGAGTTGTGTATTGGAATCATATTTACTTATGCTTTTTGATGGTTAACTATTTTCTTTTAATGGTATTTAGAACAGCTGTTTATATCTGAATTTTGCTCCTTTTGCCTTGGATGTAGGGCTCATTTGGTGTTTTGTGTTTTGGCAGGTATGACCGTGGTGCATACTTATTTTTACCATCCTATGTCATGAGAATACATGGAGCAAGACAACAACGTGAAGCAGTAAAAAGAACTCCAAGGAGTCAATTAGAGCCAGTTTTTGAGGTTTGAGATGTCAAGAGTTTTATGCTTTTGTTTCTTGTTTGCTTTTTTCAATGTTTAATGATTTATCTTTGACTTTTCTTTTAGTGGCATTTTTTCTTGGGTAGTATTTGTGACTAATTTATGTTTGAACATTGCAAGGGTTTCACTTTGACTTTGATGCATTAATTCTGTGATTGTTTGTGAATCAGGCCCTGGATACTCTAGGAAATACCAAATGGAGAGTGAATAAAAGGATACTTAGTGTAATTGACAGAATCTGGGCTAATGGAGGCGGTCTTGCTGACCTTGTTGACCGTGAAGATGTGGGTACAGTTCAATAAGCCAAAATTGTTTTTGCTCTTATAGTTTTTCATGTTCCTTTTTCTTTCTGGAGGAATGAATTAATGTTCAACATAAACTTCATCCTCACTTATCCTGTTCAGTGCTGAGGTACCTTTTAGTAATCTTTCTTCTTCATCTTTTCTAAATGTATTTACAGGTTCCTATCCCTGAAGAATGCGACACAGAGGATGAAGCAGAAAAAAAGAAATGGAAATGGAAGGTTAAGGCTGCAAAAAAGGAAAATAGTGAGAGACATTCACAGCGCTGTCATATAGAACTCAAACTTGCTGTAAGGAAATTCACTATTCTGTAAAATTTACTTAGGGCTGTTGCATCTCTGGTAGATGCAATATTAATATGCCCCTTTGGGTGCAGGTGGCTCGAAAAATGAAGGATGAAGAGGGCTTCTACTACCCACATAACCTTGATTTCCGAGGTCGTGCATATCCCATGCACCCACATTTAAATCACCTTGGCTCTGATCTGTGCCGAGGGATCCTGGAGTTTGCAGAGGGACGCCCTCTTGGGAAGACAGGCTTACATTGGCTGAAGATACATCTGGCAAATTTGTATGCTGGTGGTGTGGACAAGTTATCGTACGAGGGTCGAGTAGCATTCAGTGAGAATCATTTGGATGATATCTTTGATTCTGCTGACAGACCTCTGGAAGGAAGGCGCTGGTGGTTGGGTGCAGAAGATCCTTTTCAGTGCTTGGCAGCATGTATGAATCTCTCAGAAGCATTGAGAAGCTCCTCTCCGGAGACTACTATTTCACATATCCCTGTACACATGGTATTTTCTTTTTCCTTATGAGATTGGATGTATTGGTTTGGAGAATATCCTTGCTAAGTACATGATCCAGTGGATGTGCATGTTCCAAAAATTTTCTTTTACAAAATAACAATTCTTGTTTTGGCAAGGTTGGTGTATAGATTCACTTTTTGTAGTGGCGCATTTTTTCATTTTTTTATTGATATGGAAAATGAAGTCAAATTTTCTGGTGCAGAGAGGAAGATGCTAGTTAAAGTTCTATGTTCAGAAACATATATAGCCTTATGATTTTGTTGAGATACTGATGCAATAGCCTCTGTATATAATTGGATTGTCACTATAATCATTTGTGTTAGAATGTAACATGATTTTAGTTTGTTCTCATCTATGATAGATCATGATGTATACTGTAATATGATGTTTTAGCAATGTTAATGGTTCTGCTTATTTTATTGCATTTCCATTATTTTGTCTGTATTATGAGGTTTCATCCTTTGGATGTGGGGTCACTTTAAATGCTTGGGTAAATATTATTCCTCTAGGTCTTAATCTTTGCTTTTCTTGTTTTGTTATTTTGCAAGGATGGTTCATGTAATGGCTTACAACACTATGCTGCCTTAGGAAGGGACAAGGTAATATAGCTTATGTTTGTTTTTACTTTCAAAATATAATTTAAGCTCTTAACTACTTGGCAGACTTTTTGCTTGCCTTTTTGTCCTTGAATAATTTTTTCCTTCTAGAATTTATATGTGTTTCTTTCTTGAGCCTTTCTGATTGCATCCAATTTGTTCATGCTTTTTTTAATGCATTAAAGAATTTCTGGGAATATGCAAACTGTAATATTTTTTTTTCCTGGCAAAGTTTTGAAATTGATGAGAAATTATTACTTCATACTGGACAGAAATATCATCTTTTTCAGCTTACTGTCCAAGAGTTAAATGGTACCTTTAACATCTCCATTTCCATGAGTCAGATTCAGTATCTGTCTCTGTGCTAATCCTAATCCTTTTGTGAACAATTTTTGAGTATCTTGGTAATTATTTCCAATTTTCTCAGAAAATTATTTTAATATACCTCTCCCATGCTTGTGTCACTTTTTTGCTTTCTTAGTTGGGAGCTGCTGCCGTGAATCTTGTTGGAGGGGATAAACCTGCAGATATTTACTCAGGAATTGCATCCCGGTAAACAATGCTCTCTCTCTCTCTCTCTCTCTCTCTCTCTCTCTCTCTTGCGCGCATGCATATTGTTGCATCTAATTGAGTTCCTGTTGCAATTCAGAGTTCTCGAGATCATGCGAAGGGATGCTGAGAAAGATCCTAAAACCGATCGGAATGCTCTATATGCTCGGCTTTTGGTCAATCAGGTCTTTGCCGTTGTTTTAGTTTGTTGAATGCAATGCTGTTATGTTTGCATAAGAATGTACAACTGCTTTACTTATATATGGGATACAATTGTTTTTAATTTTATATGATGATTTAGCTGACACTTGAGGTTGTAAGTTGTTTGGTTTGTGTTTCCATTATCAGAATTTCATTGACCAGCTTATAATTATATTACTAATTGTTTACATTTACTGTTTTACTTACTTAGGTGGACAGAAAGTTGGTGAAGCAGACGGTGATGACATCAGTTTATGGTGTCACTTATATAGGGGCACGTGACCAAATCAAGAAGAGGTTAAAAGAACGTGGTGCCATTGCAGATGATTCAGAACTCTTTCAAGCATCTTCCTATGCAGCAAAAGTAAGGAAATTAGGTTTCAGTGTGCATATGTATGTGTGTATGTGCAAGTGTGCACGTATAATGTAGTTTAGACTGATAACTTTTTGTGCACATACAGACCACATTGACTGCCTTGGGGGAGATGTTTGAAGCTGCAAGAAGTATCATGAATTGGCTTGGCGAGTGTGCTAAGGTGTGTCACCTGTTTGCTAGTGATTTTAATTTTTTATATCTTAATGATGTACTCATCTATAGCGGAAAAACTAATCGTGTTAGTGGACAGCTGTGAACCTAATGTTTGAGGAGTTAAGCTATGGAGATTGTCCAAATGAGAATCTTGTTTATCTGTAGGCTGTGTTGCCTTAAGAGTCACTAGGTGATCCAATGATAGTGTTTGAAAATTCCAGTTGGATAAATTTGTTCACGATGTGTTTTGCCCTTCTCTTTTCCGATTATCCATAAAAGTCGGATGACATCATTATTTTCATGAGTAGGTGGATATATATATATTGTCGTGTTCATTCTCATGGTTTCTTTCTCCGCTAACGTGATTCTTGTGGTTCATTCTTAAGAGTCTTTTGATTTCTGAACCCTTGGATATCTTTGAGTTTCTAATTCTCTTGTTTGTATCCTAGGACAAGTATGCATCCCGTTTTTGACATTTTGCAGTGTTCATTCTCATGGTTTTCCTTCTCCAGTAAGGCAATTCTTTTGATTCAGTCTTAAGAGTCTTTTGATGTTCTGAACCTTTAGATTTTAACACTTCAAATTTTTTCTCGTATTTTCTAATTCAAGTGTGCATATTTTCATTGTTTTACAAATTTATTATTAGTCAAGCTACTGTAACACAAACTTTTAGTACTAATTTGTGGCACAAATTCTTAACCATTAATTCATGGCAATACAGTGACTAAAAAACTGTTTAGATTGAATAAAAAAATAACTAACTCTAACATCTTCCATCACAAGCCCACTGGATTACTTTTAGTCAAAGGTTAAGAATTTGTTTCACAAATTTGTGCAAAAAGAATGTATTACAATAGCCTAACCCCATTACTATATATTGAAAAGAAAAAACACATGGCTGTTTCCAAAAAAATTTCACTTAAGAGTCCCTCAAATTCCATTTAAATAGCCCCAACAATATTCTGCAGAAAATAAATTACAAAATTAGATATTCAAGTTAAAAAAAAAAAAAAAAAAAAAGTCATTGTCCAAATTTTTTAAAGTTTGGGTTCCCATGTTACCCATTTCTCTCACAAGTCTTGAAAATTTTTCATGAGCTAAATGTTTTATAGGAAGTGGTGTGAGCTAAATGTTTTATAGGAAGTGGTGTGCTTAATTGTATCATTTCACATCTTAGCATCATTCTCCATTAAGCTATTGTGTTTTCCTACAAATGCTGACAGTTAATTTGAATATTAACAGGTGATAGCTTCAGTGAATCAGTCAGTGCGATGGACAACTCCTCTTGGACTTCCTGTTGTACAGCCTTACCGGCAGACAGGAAGGCATCTTGTAATGTTCTAAGAAATTTTTCACGTCCTATGATTTTGAATCAAATTCCTCAGTAATTTCAGTTTTTAATTAAAATGTTATGTTGAATTGAATGCAGATCAAAACTTCTCTGCAGATATTGGCATTACAGCGAGAAACTGACAAGGTTTTTAATCTTCCTTTACTGTTAGGCCTTGTTTATCTGTTTCTTCAAGATTCTAAAGTACAATTCTAATAAAATCATAAGCAGCTTTATCTGTCTGTGCCCTAAAATGGAAAAATTCTTTGATTAGCTTTAATGGGGAAAAAATAATAAAACTTTCTAGGTTATTGATTTTTGTGTAATTTTCAGTTTTTTTAACCAAATTTTATGCAATCTGTGATTTTATAGTACTTAACTTCCTCTTTTAAAATTAATTTTAAGCCATCTGAAGTGTACTATTTTACTGATTCCGTTGCCTTTGTAAATATTGCAGGTCATGGTTAAGCGGCAGAGAACAGCTTTCCCCCCAAATTTTGTTCACTCACTTGATGGTTCCCACATGATGATGACTGCTGTTGCTTGCCAAAAGGCAGGCATGAGCTTTGCAGGTATGTACCGAGTCTTATGTCTTCTTCAGATATATGTATATGTGTTTTTATCTTTTGCGCATTTGTCATTATGTATTGGAAGTCTTAAAACTGTTTTGCACCAATGTTTTATTACAGGGGTCCACGATTCATACTGGACACATGCATCTGATATTGACGAAATGAATAGGATACTCAGAGAAAAGTTTGTTGAGCTCTATTCGAAGCCAATACTGGAAAATGTAAAGTAACTTTACTTGCATATTGTTCTATAATCTGGATAGAAAACTGCCAGTTGGGGATTATAATTTCTTGAAAAATTTCAACAAAGGATAGAGCTTCCTGGAGCCGGTATCCCTATTAGTGTGCCAAATTGTTGTCAATAGCAACAAAGAGAATAACAAACGCCACTATCAAAATTTGAAAGCAGTTTGGGTGTTTTGATATTTATTGACCTCCATCATTCAAAACTGTTAAGCGGGACGTATTCCAAATTTTTTTGTAATTAGTGGTCAATGTCATTTTGGCATCGCTCAACATGATCAGAAATCAAAATTTTACCATTTGAACCTACCTCTTCACAATGTCTTTCCTCAAACTTCATCGAGAGTCAAGCCTTATATTTAAGTTTATATGTCCAATTTATTTAAGAATATGAATAAATGCAATTGCCTTACTTTAGGATGGAAATCAGAATGACAAGATCTGTGGAGCTTTGATATTCTTTTGTTCATTGAATGCGTTTATAGAAATGAGAAAATTTGCTTGTTAGAAGTCTATATGCTCTAAATTGAACAGCTGACCTTGTGTTATGACATTGTTTTTGGTTACTGATGATCTTTTTCATGCTTACAGTTGTTGGAGAGCTTTCAGAAGTCATTCCCTACCTTGAATTTTCCACCGTTACCAGAACGGGGAGACTTCGATCTCAGAGATGTTATGGATTCTCCCTATTTCTTTAACTAGTCTCAGGTCACATTCTTCTCATGACCGTGTGCCTTTGAAATTGGATTCTGCCTTTGTCATTCAAAACCACAAGGTAATGGCAGTTGAGTTTTCTTTATTCGTGGTCATAATTGAAGGCAAGTTCCTTATACCATATTGGAGTATAAGTTGAAAGGATAAGAAACTTCTGGGATAGCTGCAAGCAGTGTACTCGGGTAGTCGGGTACCTTTGTACATATCTCAAAAGGAGAGACCTACAAGCATTAACAGAAGGTTGATCTCACGTTTCTTTTAGAAGATAAATATATTTTTTTCCCTGGAGCTGTTGTTGGGCGGTCCATCATGAAGCATTCTCTGAAAGAGCAGCTCAAAAGGTGGTCAAGCAAATTGCATTGACATAAGCTGTGTATAACCCAAGAAATTAAAGCTTTTTATGTTGAATAGCACTTGATCGATGAAGTGATTCAATCAATCTGGAAGTTGAAGGCTATGCCCACCACATCGAGCTTCCATTACTTCAGGGATGATGAGAGTGACAGTTGTCGGTGGGTGTTTACAGATCACAAAGATAGGTTAGTTAAGATAATTGTTTGTGGTATATTAAATATTTTGCCACCTTTGTACCATTTATTTTGTATGATCTATATGAATTGATTGTCCTTAAAAATAAATTATCATAATAAAGAGAAATTCACATAGCTTGAATTTGTTCACATTCTGGTATGCATGTTGTGAGCAAGCCCATCCATCTGCTGATTTCTAATAGTGTAGAGATTAGGCTGGAATATCCTTGTGGTGGAAAGCACACTGTGTGCAACTCTCAGTAGAAAATAAACTGTTTGATTAAATTGGTGGAGTTGAAATCAAGAGTAAGTCATCGCTGTTAAGTAAGTTGATAAATTAGATATAAATCACCAACTATGATCTTACAACCCTGGGAAAGCATTCAATCTTGAAGATTGCATGACAACATCTTCTGGTTGAATCCGTAACTTCTATCTTACGAAAATCTAATGAACCAGCGAACTTCCGAGCAGCTGCAGTGGACTCATAGAAGAACCCAGAAGCCATCAGAAAATCCAATTGCCTTGTGGGTGTCCCATGATAATCACGGCGTACAATATAGTCAACTGAATTCATTTCTTGTCTGCATTATATTCTGGCTTAAACATCATTATTTTTGACGCTACAATGACAATTAATTTTATATTATAGTATTTGGTCATAAAATAAAGTATTGCAAACGACGTGGATGTGAATGTGATAAGCCAACCACCCTTAACCTGACTGGGTAAAAAACTTCATCTGCTAAAGTCAATGCAATTGCCTATTCCAGGGTCTTGCTTGATCCTATTTGTTTACCAACTTTCTGGTTGCTTCAACTGTATTTTTAGGGAGCAAACAACTTTTTCCCACCCAAGGTTTGTCTCAATAACATTTTCCACCCCAAAAGTTTCAAAATATCACATTCTCACCCAAAGTTAATATTCCGTTATTACCCAAAGCGAACTCCAACTGATTCTGACGGCGAAAATTCTCTTCATCACCTTCGGTCTTCTCTCTACAAAACCCCTCTCATTCTAGCACCTGATTTCTCATCGATTACTAATTACCGCAAATCTAGGGTTTTTTGTTTTTAGCTGATTTTCAGCAACTAATATTCAATCGGTTATCACCATTTGATCCACCGAACTACACTCTACAAAAATCCTTTTACCATGACTCCTAGTAACTCGTTAAACGTTAGCTGAGAAAGTGAAGTGTGTTTTGGGTATTAACAAAATATAAACATTGGGTGGGAAAATAGTATTTTGAAACTTTTTGGGTGAGAAAGTGTCATTAAGGCAAACCTTGGTTGGGAAAAGTGTATACTTTATTTTTAGGCCTACCATACTGCACTCTAAAGCTTTCATCTTGTAGACTATTATAGGAATGTGATAATTTAGATCCAATCAAGTAAATATTTATCCGTTTTGGACTTCGTTTAAACATGATCTAAATTTTAAGACTTGGTTACAGGAAAAAATCATCTCCAAAAGTAGTTAATTTAAACCCTAAGGGATTAGTCTGATAGTCAATAAGGTTTATTTCCTTCTTTAAGTTATTGAGTTCAAACCTTACGGTCATCTATCACAATAACATTGTAACTTACTTAATTTTTTGAACTTATAGAGTATTCAATAAACCTCAGAGGTTAATTATAAAATATGATACATTGACCCAACGCCTTGGTTAGCAACAAGGAAACCAAAAAAAAAAAAAAACGCGGCTAATTTAATTTGAAAAATTCTGGCACAAAACCATATAACAGGGAATTTATTCGTAACCGAAATTATAGATTAATAGGACTTGTAACCAAAGCTTGGGATTTTCTTCCTTAAAGTGACGTATGAAAACCATAAATTAAACTTGAAAAGGAACCCATACATATATAATGGAGAGATTCTTCAATGACCATTTCTACCTGAAGCTGACTGAGTCAATGTTATTATGGACCTTGCTTCCTTTGTTGAGTTACCAACCTAAAAGCAACATAATGATTATAGTAAGCCATCTTAGACAGATTCAAAAAGAAAATTTTTCATCCGTCAAAATGTCTCTTCCAACCAAAGTAAATTAGTACTCCTGGTTTTCTGAAATTCTGGAGCTACTACACCAAGAAGGTCATCCAGAGTAGAAGCTCCAACTGATGTCGGTATGAGATTTTCATTCATGTATTTTCTGTCTACTTATATTTTCTTTCTCCACCTTTGATTCTTTTTCACAGCCATATGCTACTAAAACTTGTTCAGTCTTTCATCTTTAAGTATCATGAACTGAGAAAAGTTGTATTGTATTTTTATAGGGCTATGGTTTTTATAAGCTTATGATCATTTTTACCCAAATAAATTTCAGGAAACAATATTTGTGGAACTTTCTTTCCTCAATAACTTTGGCATGAGAGACAAATTAGTTTAATTTTGCAAGACTAAAGCACAGTTGATGTACTATTTTCATGTATTGAAAGCCTCCAATTTTCATTTTTCTTGTTTCATCTTCCGGGTGGCTTTTCAATGAAGTGTCTACTAAGCTTCCATATAGGCACATCTAGCTGTGGAGCCTTTTCAAATTTCACTGGAATTTTTTTCTAGAATTCTACACTCAGATCGGACGAAAACAGTATATAGACACAAATTGAATAGCTGAACAGTGGATTCTTAGTTACTTATTACAGCTCCGGGCATTTTAAACCATTGGCAAACTATTCAAGCTTTTCTCATGCTTCTACGCATATCTTGTATTTATGCATTAACATGTAGAATTGACAAACAACTTCTTCTGTTAAATGCCTTTCTCACACTCATTCCATCTAAAATAGCTACAAGTAAAGTTCCCAATCTCAGTGAAGTGAACGTTGTCATTTGCTTAGAAATTCCCATAAACAGGCAACCACCCAACTTTGACTTATGATCTAATATGAGCACAATTAACAGGGAGTTCACTACTTAATTTTAGTTTTATTGAATGTACAAATTCATGAAAGTAATCAAACCTGAACTAGTCCAGATGAAAGCCAGACTAATATCTTCTCTCTTTCTTTAGTTCAACAAGGATACAACTGCAATTGTTGGTCTTGTTGACTCTTTGCTGGAATTGATTTCGGAGATTACAGCATCAACGGTTTGCATAGAATTAGAATTTGAAAAGTTTAACGAATTTGGATGCTACCTTTATCGAGCTTCTATAGTCATAATGGAGCTGCAGACAATCGAGAATGCCCCGGCAAATGCAATGGAGATTCTACAGTCTCTGGGTAAAAGCATTAATTTGGCCAAGGATCTTGTGAAAAAATGCGAGAAAGGCAGCTGTTCAGATTTAGATACTGAACTGAAAATCACGATGACACAGCTTGGGGAGGTAATAAAATGTATGGGAGAATGCTTGAGCTCGATACCTTCATCGACATTTACGGGCCAAGAATATGCAGAAGTTGCAGTCCAGTGTCTTTCAAAGGAGATGGTGAATGCTTACTTTGATGTCACCCACAATCAAGTGTCAGAGACCAAAGAGCAGGAGCCGCAGAAACTACCAAACGAAGAACCACCAGAATCAGATCTCTACTCTATCAGTGTAGAAGTTTCCATGGATAATGCCAAGTTACTAGGCATGCCACGTCTTGGGGACTTCTTTACAAACACCAGTCTCAGCAGCCAAAGCAGCTATCAGAACGTAAGCAGATCAATGACATTGCCGAAGGTAGCTCAGTACATCGAACCACTGTATGAGACTTTCTTCTGTCCATTGACTAAGGAAGTTATGGATGATCCGGTAACCATTGAAACTGGAGTGACCTATGAAAAGAAGGCAATATCAGAGTGGTTTGAAAAGTTTGAAAATTCAGAGGAAATAGTTTGTCCAACCACAGGGCAGAACCTGAGCAGCAGGCGCTTAAGCACCAATTTAGCTCTAAAGACCACAATAGAGGAATGGAAGGATAGGAATGATGCCGCAAGGATCAAGGTTGCTCGGGCAGCTTTGTCTTTAGCTAGTTCAGAAAGAATGGTATTTGAGGCTATAAAAGATCTCCAAAGTTTATGCCGAAGGAAAGAGTACAATAAGGTACAGGTCTGCAATGTCGGAATGTTGCCATTGCTGGTTAATTTTTTAGGGTATAAAGACGGAGATGTCAGATGTGCAGTGTTGGATCTATTACATCAACTTGTGGAGGAAGATGATGATGGAAAGGTTTGACTCCTTAAATCTCTTGAATTTTTATGAAAAGGATCAAAATGTAATAATCAAATGAACATAATGATTCAGTTTCACCTTTATTCACAATTTTGAAAGCAGAAATATTAACTAGTAAAGAGATAAAACTAATTTCTCAGAGTGTTAATCAAACAAGGTCTTCCACAATTATCGATAACAGAATTTCCAAATATGCTTTCAGAAGCAGACTTATTTTCCAGCTATAATTTGGACACGAGCATCAACACTTTTGGTTAATATTGTGCTGAAAATTTTGTGTATGCAGAAGAAACTAAGTGATATGATTTATACTTCTATCTTTCTACTATCTGTATGTTTAGATATGTACTCCGTAGGGAAGGAAGGGCTTAGCTAAGACTTGAGAGCAAACAAGCCAATAAGGACTTGGAAAAATATTTCCATGATTAGTGATTTTATGTGCAGGAAATAATTGCGAAGATCATTGATATTTCAATTATAATCAAGTTGCTGTCAAGTAGTCTGCAACCTGTAAGGCATGCATCGTTGTTGTTCTTGCTTGAGCTTTCAAGATCCCAACTTTTGTGTGAGAAACTTGGTTCAGTTACCGGCGGGATACTGATGCTGATCAAAATCAAATACAGTCGGTCTGTTGATGCCTTTGCTTCAGAAAAAGCAGAAAAAATCTTAAAGAATCTAGAGAGATTACCAGATAACATTAAGTGCATGGCAGAAAATGGACTCTTGGAACCCCTGATATATCATCTGAATGAAGGTAAGTTTTCAAACTTCATTTTCCAACCATTCACTAGCTGTCACTTGCAATAGCCCCTAAACCCTAAATATTGAGAAGAAAATGTGCATAGAATGCAGAGGTTAGCCAAAGACTAATTTAGAAGCTTTTGGACAACTATTTAATGGCCCTTGCACCATCATAGGAACTGAAATCTTTGGGGTTTTTAGTCCAATAACTATATAACAATTACCTTCAGCTCATTACGTATGGCATCAATACAGTGTGTAAAAGGTTATATAAACTATCTAACCACAGCTACGTTTTTTTTTAAAAAAAAAAAAATCAAATACATAAACAGGTTCTGAGGACATGCAGATCGAAATGGCGAGCTACCTTGGGGAAATTGTTCTTGGACATGACAGCAAAACCTATGTGGCTGAGAGGGTTGCTCCTAATCTCGTCAGAATGGTGCAGAGTGATAACACTTTAACAAGCAGGACAGCATTCAAGGCTCTAGTGCAAATCTCTTCTCACAATCCAAATGGAAAAATACTTGTAGAAGAAGGTGTTGTACAGATCATGGCTGAAGAGATGTTCAACCGGGGAATCTACAATGAACCAATGAACTCAAAAGGAGAAGCTGCTGCAATTCTTGCTAACATACTTGAATCTGGGATTGAGTATGAGAACCTCCAAGTAAGTACTCAGGGCCACAAAATGACTTCAGACTATGTTTTGTACAACTTAATCTACATGCTGAAGAATTCTACTCCGGATGAACTCAATGTCAGTCTTATCAGAATTTTATTATGCTTGTCAAACTCTCCAAAATCAATGGCCACCATTGTCTCGGTTATCAAAGATTCTGAAGCGAGCTACTCCCTGATTTCATTCATCAACAACCCACACGAAGAGCTTGGAGTTGCAACAATAAAACTACTCATCACAATCTCGCCTTACATGGGTCACACACTAGTTGAGAGACTATGCAAAACAAGAGGTCAACCTGAGAACCTAATTCAATGCCCAACTGAAACAACCTGTATAACACAGAAACAGGCAATTTCAGCAAAGTTTCTTGCAAAACTTCCCCACCAGAACCTAACACTCAATCTAGCTCTTCTTGGCAAGAATGTAGTGCCTACAGTTCTACAATCAATCAATCTAATCCAAAGAAGTGGAACAAGAACTAGCAGGTATGCAAGTGCTTTCTTAGAAGGCCTAGTTGGTGTTCTTGTTAGATTCACAACTACACTGTATGAACCCCAAATGCTGTTTCTAGCAAGAAACTACAACTTCACAGCTGTATTCACAGAACTGCTTATGAACACATCATGTGATGAAGTTCAGAGGTTATCTGCAATTGGGTTGGAGAATCTATCTTCAGAATCAACAAACCTATCAAAACCACCAGAAATAAAGAAAACCAAGTTCTTGAAAGTGTTAACCTTACCAAAATCCCTATCATTTAGCTCATCAAAGAAGAAGATACCATCAGTCTGTCCAGTTCACAGAGGCGCTTGTTCTTCACAAAACACATTTTGCTTAATTGATGCAAAGGCGGTTGGCAGGTTGTTGGCATGTTTGGAACATGAGAATGTTGAGGTGGTTGAAGCTGCATTATCGGCTCTATGTACATTGCTGGACGACAAAGTTGATGTAAACAAGAGTGTGAGCATGTTGAGTGAAGTGAACACCATACAGCATGTGTTGAATGTGGTTAAAGAACACAGAGAAGAGGGACTCTGGCAAAAATCATTTTGGATGATTGATAGATTCTTAATGAAAGGTGGAGATAAACATGCTTCAGATATCTCGCAGGACAGGTTGCTGCCTGCTACATTGGTCAGTGCTTTCCACCATGGGGATATCAATACAAGGCAGATGGCTGAAAAAATCTTGAGGCATTTGAACAAGATGCCCAATATCTATGCTTCCAACTATACTATGTAAATAAAATACAAAAGGGAAGGTAGAATTAGCATGTAAAGAAATTGTAGTCATGCTGAAGTGTGTGATTATGGGGACTATAACCGGTTGTATGTTGTCAACTTATGGTTCTCTTTATCTTGTTACCCGATATTGTTGAACCTTGAGGTGTCTGCTACATGGTACGAAGTTTTGATGACTCATCTTTCACGCTAAGATCACTCTTTTTTGTTTTTGTTCAGTTCATTAAGTACGATGGCTGCTGATGGATCCCACATCATTTAGATTGGATGAATTCAAGCAGGTCAACTGACTTTCAAAACTTCACCTGCTTCATAATATTTAATTAACACTCTTAACATTCTGCAAATAAATCGAACATTTTATCAAACTACTGAAACTAAGACTCAGACAAGAAAAGAAAAGGAAAAAAAATCAATTTCATTTGAACTATTTGCAAGTGGATTTGTTAACGTGTTATTAAGTTATGCATGGAAATTTCTTTCAAAAAAAAAACGTGATTTTTTTGTGAAATTTTGTAGTGATGACAATTAACTAGAATTTATATATATATATATATATATCTTTTTTTTTTTTTTCTGAAAATTAACTAGATAGATCAAAGAAATTTTTAGAAAAATGTATATAACAAGGCCACTTTCCATGTACAAAAAGATTCCTTCATCTATTTCCAAATTCTGGTATTTTGGTGACCCAAGATGAAAGGGACTGTGCAAATGCAAGGTTGATCGACTTAAAAAGCTGCATTTCGCTCAAAACAAGAACCCAAGTACCGTCTGTGCCATTTCTAATGGGAATGGTGCCCAAGTCATCATCAACCGTGCTATTCTTATTCCAGTTCTTAATCAACCACTGTCTTCAAATCAGTATTATGCAATATGCACTTCAACAATGCGGCAAGCATAAAGGGTATATATAATTTAACTTTAATATTTCTTTGCACTTGAGCAAAGATGGGAACAAATATCTGCATGTGAGAATGGACAATGTTGTGGTTGTAGCTAGATGCTGCTGTTCAAACAGAAGTGGTGTCATTTGGCGGGGTGGGGGATATGCCTGAAGAGAATAATGTGGTAGAAGGCGTGATGTGGTTTATGAAACAACCTAAAGTAATACAAAATAAAAATCAATAAACACACACAAGTAAAGAGAGAGAGAAATACGTGCGATTTACTTTGGTTCATCAAATTAACAGGTTACATCCAGCAGAGTCAATATTATTAAAATATTGTCTTACCTCTCTAATTATAATAAATGTAACTTGCTATCACACTCATACAAGAGAAAAATAAATTTATATATTAGATTTAAAGAGTAAAACGTAATATTATAAAGATTAATTTTCCTAAATCCAAGCCTAATTAGAAATTAATTACTTAAAAAAATCATTCAGTGGCTCTTCATAGAATAATATTATACTTATCAATACTCTATACAAAGTCTTTCCCACAAAGTGATGTATTAGATTATTTTTATTTTTGAAAGTTACCTGTTTAGAGTGTCTGAAAAAAAAAAATAATAAGCCATCAATCAGAAAAAAAAATCTGGGTGGATACAAGTCCCCACCCTATACGTTAACATAATCCATTATAAACAAAACTTTGACCGGAAACTCAATAAACAAGTTGAAAATTATACAATGTATTACAAGAATGCATATTCTAACTTATTAAGAGAACCTGCACTTTTCAGTCATTTATCCCACAAAGAAAAGACACAAAACATATCCAGACAGAAGGCATTTTCGACTATCAGAAGGTAGACAGTTTTATATTCATTAATTAACACGCAATTACTGATAGAACAAGGTGGAATAAACTAGAGTCAGACTGAGACACAATGCAATACGTAGTACAAAGATTTGGCTTTTATCAGTAATTAATTAACATTGGTTATACAATGTTTGACCATATTGGGTAATATAAAAATTGTTGAGGTTTGGCCGGCAATGGCCACCACACAACCATCACTAACTATGTCTACACAGAATGCCATTTGCCTCAAATTAGATTAGAAGGCGTCGTTTTCAACTTCAAAACTTCCCTGTTAAACATTTATTTAGTCCAACCTGTTCGTTGTATCTTTGGACCTTCTTCGAACAATTTTATTATACCAGATGCAGTTTTTAGCTTTTGTATTTTAGCTTCCTCTCTCTAACACTGTTCACTTCACTATTTCATTAAACATGGTTCAAAAAGGATATTACTCTTTCTTTTTTCTTTTTATGGTTTTTACTTACTGAATTTGTTGGGGAAGATTTAACCAGGACATGTTTGGACTTCATAAGAATCATATCAAGGGCATCGACCATCAAATTTGAAGCAGTGAATGGTTTAAATGACATTCATTCATATGCCACATCCAAATACGACCAACTAACGGTAGAAATGGGGAAAATACCTTTGTGAACCTGAAATTCACTATTGTTTCTGTTTGTCAAACATAATGGGTAGAATAGTTGAAAACTTACAACTACAAAAAATGAAGTTTTACTTTCAAAAGATATAGATAACTATATAAAAGAAGATGAATTCGATATGACCTATCAACGAAGTTTGCCGAATTCAAAGGGAACCATACTTTAGATAACTATATAAAAGAAGATGAATTCGATATGACCTATCAACGAAGTTTGCCGAATTCAAAGGGAACCATACTTTTTGTATTTTAGTGCCATCAGTTGGGCTAAGCACCTACAAGCCTATCTGCACATCAGGACTTATTTCAGCCATACGAGTGAGGTGGCTTGGAACATTCTGTGCTGTAGAAAACAATGGCTTCTTTCTCTATGGAAGATTTTGTTGGAAATGGAGCTCTCAAGGGACTGCTTCCAAAGCTACTAGAGGAAGGTTGGGATGATGTACCAACCTTGAAGATTATGAACTCAGAAGATATGGATGCAATAAATATGTCACAACAACATAAGGTTAGTTGTTTAAAGAATCAGTGTTTGTTTCTCTTCACTAAAACCTGTTACTTATGTTTTAGTTTATTTGGTTAGTAAATTAACTATTCTTTCTTCTATGAAGATCAAGTATGAACCTAAAGTTGACTTGTCTCATCGATGAATTCGGTTCAGTATTTCAAAAGTTCTGCTGTAATCTATCTGTCCTGATGACTTTCTTTCCTTTAATCTAGGATGCACTGGAAATCAGATCATACCTCCATGATCGCGTCTTGATGCAATATGGGGATGTGTTTGAGACCTCTGGAAAATCTTTGCCTGAGCTTCTTATCCTAAGTTCAGGGGATCTGTCTTCCCAATTTGGTATGAAAAGAGGTCATATAGCTCGATTCATGGACAGAACAAGTGCATGCACAGATCCATTGCCCAAATCACAAGTTCTCTCTGCAAGGAGAACCATTAGCACCACATCTAGAAACAATACCATTTACAAGAGTTATGCATCTGTCAGCTCTAAAAAGATGCAAGGTATAACAAGATCCCCGACAGGAACTGGTGCGAATTCTGGTAAGGCACTTGAACAATCAGCATCTGATTTTAAGATCAAAGATGGATACATCTTTAAAGGAATTGTTGCTGCGGGACCTGCTGAGCCTCGAGCATGTGGTTGTGTACAACCTCCTCCTATATCTGACCAAGCTGCTCCTTACTCTGCCATCGAGAACATCTCAATTGAAAAACTAACCCCCGAATACAAGATTGGCATGGAACGTTTGGTGAAAACAAAGACACCTCCAATGAAGGCTCTAGTGCTGTGGCGTGAAAAACCAACTGTTCTCCTCTGCATCCGACGTCCTGGGTAAACATTTTGTACTTGACATTTTGGCACATTTATTCTTCTAACTAATTTGATGAGCCTATTAAAGTACATACATAAAAATAGTGGATGTTGTTGCAAATAAGAAGAAACCTGTGACATAGAATCAATTTGTATAACTACAAGATAAAAAATAAATTAGGCCTAATCTAGTATGTTACCAAACCTATGCTTATAAAACTCACAACAATTTGCAAGCTAGAGCTAAAAAAAAAAAATCAGTTTAGCAATAAAAAGATGCATTTTTTTTTCATGCGTAATGTTTCTCAAGTGCTCCATTTTCAAATACAGAGGTAAACCTTCTACAGGTGAAACTGATATAATTTTCTTTCTTCTCTCTCTTAAACTTTAAACAGGTGCATCATGTGCAGAGCTGAAGCTCACCAGCTGTATGCCAAAAAACCTCTATTCGATGCCTTAGGATTTCAACTAGTCGCAGTTCTTCACGAGTACATAGAATCGGAGGTATTAACGAGTCCTTTTTGACTTCTTGTGTCCTCAATCAACTATTTTGTATTTGATGTCTTGACTTTCACATTGCAGGTAAAAGACTTCTGGCCACGATATTGGGGTGGTGTTATAGCGTATGACCAGGGGAGGGAATTCTTTAAAGCCCTTGGGGGTGGAAAGCTACTCAAGGACAAGTTCCTATCAGGTTTTGTTTTTAACCCCCGAGCTATTGTAAACTACAAGCGCGCAAAAGCCATGGGAGTAGAGCAAAACTTCAAAGGAGAAGGTGAAATTAAGGGGGGACTCTTTATAGTTGGCAGAGGAAGGAGCGGCATTGCTTATCAGTTTATTGAGAGAAATTTTGGTGATTGGGCACCTGTAGCTGAAGTAATTGAGATCTGTACCCAACTGCAGGTATCTCTCATTGGATTCTCTAATCCTGTATTGCAATTTCTGTACATTATAAGTTTATTTTAACAATCTTTTTCCAATCTGACACAGAACCAACAGCAAGGTCAATCAGAGTCAATCAAATCAACAGCAGAATATGAATGAAGTTTGTTGTGTTATCCATATCTTCTCCAGATTTGTGTTTAATATATTCTATATCTTGTAATTTCAGCACAGTGAACACTCCCTTTTCCCTAACCTTTTTCTATTTTTCATTTTTCACATTACCTTGTATGGATTGTATTTATCAGAATATTTAAATTCAAGTATTGTAATAAATCATAGTCATGTCTTAGTTCAAAAGCATCTACCAATTGGTCATCAAGTGAAACAAGGTTAGGTTCCATAAAAAATAAAAAATAAACCTTAAAAACAATAGCCAAAACATAATTTTTTATCAATCTCTTTCAACAGTCAATGTCAAAATCATATCAAACTAGCAAATATGTAGGCTATTTCTTTCAGCTGCACCGTGCAACAGAAAACACAATCTTGACTCCAGTTCAAAGAAATTCAGTTAATCTTTCATGTAGATGTAAACCTATGTGGCATGTACAACTAATTGAGACATTCTGGCAAGACATGTCATGTACAGGTCTCAATGACTTAGATGATGGAATTTGAGTGTACAATAAAAAATAGGTAAATGCATATACTTCCATATGTTGTAATCTTAAAGAGAAATTAGAATTGTAAGCAATTAACTAAATGTTATAGCTAATTCATCAAGAAAGAAGTCTTTCAAATTTTTAAATATATCGAAACTCAAAAGGCAATGAAAAAATCATAGTCAATTGGAAATGAGAAGCACTCCAATGTATTGAAACAGATGAAAAGGCCAAAGTAGTTACGAAATAAGAATTAAAGTAACAAACCCTTCATCATCGTATAGTATCCTTACGAAACCCAAAAGGAGGATTAGTCCATAATCTATGAGGTATTCAGTAACGAATTAAGTTATGAACTTAAGGGAAACAAGGTGCTTAGAAGTTTAATCCAGTGCCTCTTTACTATCGGGTGTTAGGCTCCCCGATAGGCTATAGATATTTCAGAGCCACTTAGCAAAGGCAAATTAAGAACTTTTTGTCTTACCTGAAAACCCAGTAGTCTATCAAAGCGTAATCCAGTGAGTTGCTGAACCACTTTGTGCTATGCATGAACCACCGTCTACAAATAATATCACCTGTATCTTCCTTTTTACAGCATAGCAATTTTCACCACTGGGATGCTTGAGATCATGTGTAACATATTCATGATCTTACAAAATGTTCTTATGGAATAAACAGCCCTCGAATATTATGATGATGTTCCTAAGAAGTTGCATCATCTCTTTTTGAATGCTATGAAAAATTTGGACTTGGTTGTTCACCCTGTAGTCCATCATGTCTATATTTCACAACAGCTATGGCACTAATACAACTTCATCACCAAAAATCTCCGCATGAACATGTTCCATCTTTAAACAAATGAAACCTGACAGCATCTCTTACCAGTATCTCTCTCTGGGTAATCTTAGAGATATATTTGGTGGCATTGTGGCAATCCCCACAAACCCTAAGATTTTTAACTACTCGTATAGGAAGGCCAACAGGAATAAATAACAACCCAAATGCAATTGCAAGCTTCTCACTATGGTAGTTAAGCATCTTTGCTTTCAACGAATCCTCAACATCATGTAGAACAGAACTCATATCTGGCACATATCCCTCCTGTATCATCTTGCAGTTTAGTTTCTCCAGCTCAGCATATATCTCATTAGAAAATGGACTTGACTGATCATCAGCTGAAAAAATATGTACTTTGTTCTTATATTTGATCCAACTACATCCTGGTTCCTTCCTCACTCCCTTATCTCTCATTCTTCTCCTCAACTGGGACACATGGTCCCATTTACCTTTGGAAGCATAGATGCTTGATAACAAAATATAGCTTGCAGGGTTCTGAGGCTCCAATTCCAGAAGAGAATCTGCTGCCCATTTCCCAATTTCCACATTACCATGAATTCTACATGAGCTGAGTAAGGTGGCCCAACCAATTGCATCAGGATGGAAAGGCATTTTATCAATAAAACTTTTTGCTTCTTCTAACCTTCCGGCTCGGCTGAGAAGGTCAATCATGCAAGTGTAGTGATCATGAATTGGTGTAATTCCATGTTCTACTACCATTGAATCAAAATACCGATGTCCTTTCTCCACCAATCCTGCTCTACTGCAAGCTGAAAGAACACCAATGAAAGTAACTCCATCAGGTTTGAAACCATGGGCCAGCATCTTTTCGAACAAATAAATTGTCTCATTGGCCTTTCCAAACTGCGCATACCCTGAAACCAATGCTGTCCAAGATACTTCATCCCTGATATTCATCTCATTGAATAGCTGATGAGAATCTTCTATACTTCCACATTTACCATACAAAGTTACAAGTGCATTGGAAACTGTTACATAGGAAATCAAACCAGACACTAGGGCTCGGCCATGAAACTGGGAACCCTCTTCCAAGCTAGCCAGATTTGCACAAGAGCTGATTACACTTCCAAGAGTAAAATCATCTGGCTCAATCCCATTTCTCTGCATTTCACAAAATATCCTAACAGCTTCTTCACTGTACCCATTCTGTCCATAACCCACTAGCATTGCAGTCCACGATACAACATTTTTCCTAGTCATTCTCTTGAAAACAGATGCTGCAGATTTTATGTTCTTGCACTTGCAATACATGTCAACAAGAGCACTTCCCACAAACACATTACCTGTATAATCAGTCCTGATTATATAAGCATGAATCTGCTTCCCTTCTTCCAAGGCCAATAGTCCCCCACATGCAGTCAATACACTTCCAAATGTAAACTGATCTATAGTAAAACCTCCCAATCTCATCTCTCTAAATAAATTAATAGCTTCTCTCTCCAAACCATTTGTTATGAGTCCTGTAATCATTGTTGTCCATGAAATCGAGTCTTTCTCCTCCATACAACAAAACAGCCTCTTTGACTCCTCAACCAACCCACATCTCAAAAGCCCCGTGATCATCGTATTACGCATAACCACAGTCTTCTCAGTCATCCCATCAAAAACCCACTTCGCATCATATATGAACCCCATTTTCGCATACATATCCACCAAAGGACTACCAACGAAAACATACGACTCAAACCCAAGTTTCACGATTTGCCCATGGATTTGTCTCCCCAAGTCGATATACCCTTCACTCGAAGACAGTATAAGCATCGTTGAAAATGTAATTCTATTCAAATTACCAAGCCCATCTTTCAACATCAAGTTATAGACCTTAAGTGCTTCATGAACAGAACCATGACTTGCATACCCTGAAATAAGTAAATTCCAAGAAACTCCATCACGATATGGCATGGTATTAAACATGTTTAGCATTTCTGAAAGCTTCCCAGATTTTGAATAAGTGGAGAGAATGGTGTTCCATGAGAAGAGGTTTGGCTGAGGTATCCTGTCGAACAAGTGGCGTGCATAATTTATGTTGCCTAGTTTACTATAAGAATTAATGAGATTATTAAACAGGAACGTTTCTGGGTTAGTTAAGGTTTTGATAATAAGGCCGTGGATATTTTTCACCTGTGTTTGGTTTCTAGTTTCGCAGCAAAGTTTTAGCAAGGAAGTGTAGTAGTTAGAGGGTGAAGACATTGTTAAAGTATGTTATTGGCGGGAACAGCTGTTGGCCTGTTGCGGGTTTGTATTGTCAGAAAACAAAACCCTAGAAAAGTTCGTAGTGAAAGATGGGCTCCAGTTTCTTTTAGATTGTGAAGCTAAATCGGTGACCAGGGTGCTAACTAAATAAAAAAGAAAAATTGGTAATTAAATGTGCATAGAGACTATAAAAAGATTTTATTCGTTTCAGTAGTTTCCCACATGAATTTTAGTGAATTTGAAACTTGTAAGCAGCAGATCTTGAACTTGAACAGCTGTCTGTCATGATTAAAGTCAAATTCAATATGAATTAAAAACTAAACCTACCATATAAACAATATGATCCCTCTGAGTTTCACCATCGAGGGGCTCCAATTGAGACCTTAAAATTCCAGATTCTAATAAATTGTGGCATCGTTAAAAATCCAAATACATTAAACCATAAGCTGAAGGGTGAAAGGGTTTTTCATGTTATCCTGTATTGCAATTTCTGTACATTATAAGTTTATTTTAACAATCTTTTTCCAATCTGACACAGAACCAACAGCAAGGTCAATCAGAGTCAATCAAATCAACAGCAGAATATGAATGAAGTTTGTTGTGTTATCCATATCTTCTCCAGATTTGTGTTTAATATATTCTATATCTTGTAATTTCAGCACAGCGAACACTCCCTTTTCCCTAACCTTTTTCTATTTTTCATTTTTCACATTACCTTGTATGGATTGTATATATCAGAATATTTAAATTCAAGTATTGTAATAAATCATAGTCATGTCTTAGTTCAAAAGCATCTACCAATTGGTCATCAAGTGAAACAAGGTTAGGTTCCATAAAAAATAAAAAATAAACCTTAAAAACAATAGCCAAAACATAATTTTTTATCAATCTCTTTCAACAGTCAATGTCAAAATCATATCAAACTAGCAAATATGTAGGCTATTTCTTTCAGCTGCACCGTGCAACAGAAAACACAATCTTGACTCCAGTTCAAAGAAATTCAGTTAATCTTTCATGTAGATGTAAACCTATGTGGCATGTACAACTAATTGAGACATTCTGGCAAGACATGTCATGTACAGGTCTCAATGACTTAGATGATGGAATTTGAGTGTACAATAAAAAATAGGTAAATGCATATACTTCCATATGTTGTAATCTTAAAGAGAAATTAGAATTGTAAGCAATTAACTAAATGTTATAGCTAATTCATCAAGAAAGAAGTCTTTCAAATTTTTAAATATATCGAAACTCAAAAGGCAATGAAAAAATCATAGTCAATTGGAAATGAGAAGCACTCCAATGTATTGAAACAGATGAAAAGGCCAAAGTAGTTACGAAATAAGAATTAAAGTAACAAACCCTTCATCATCGTATAGTATCCTTACGAAACCCAAAAGGAGGATTAGTCCATAATCTATGAGGTATTCAGTAACGAATTAAGTTATGAACTTAAGGGAAACAAGGTGCTTAGAAGTTTAATCCAGTGCCTCTTTACTATCGGGTGTTAGGCTCCCCGATAGGCTATAGATATTTCAGAGCCACTTAGCAAAGGCAAATTAAGAACTTTTTGTCTTACCTGAAAACCCAGTAGTCTATCAAAGTGTAATCCAGTGAGTTGCTGAACCACTTTGTGCTATGCATAAACCACCGTCTACAAATAATATCACCTGTATCTTCCTTTTTACAGCATATCAATTTTCACCACTGGGATGCTTGAGATCAGGTGTAACATATTCATGATCTTACAAATTGTTCTTATGGAATAAACAGCCCTCGAATATTATGATGATGTTCCTAAGAAGTTGCATCATCTCTTTTTGAATGCTATGAAAAATTTGGACTTGGTTGTTCACCCTGTAGTCCATCATGTCTATATTTCACAACAGCTATGGCACTAATACAACTTCATCACCAAAAATCTCCGCATGAACATGTTCCATCTTTAAACAAATGAAACCTGACAGCATCTCTTACCAGTATCTCTCTCTGGGTAATCTTAGAGATATATTTGGTGGCATTGTGGCAATCCCCACAAACCCTAAGATTTTTAACTACTCGTATAGGAAGGCCAACAGGAATAAATAACAACCCAAATGCAATTGCAAGCTTCTCACTATGGTAGTTAAGCATCTTTGCTTTCAACGAATCCTCAACATCATGTAGAACAGAACTCATATCTGGCACATATCCCTCCTGTATCATCTTGCAGTTTAGTTTCTCCAGCTCAGCATATATCTCATTAGAAAATGGACTTGACTGATCATCAGCTGAAAAAATATGTACTTTGTTCTTATATTTGATCCAACTACATCCTGGTTCCTTCCTCACTCCCTTATCTCTCATTCTTCTCCTCAACTGGGACACATGGTCCCATTTACCTTTGGAAGCATAGATGCTTGATAACAAAATATAGCTTGCAGGGTTCTGAGGCTCCAATTCCAGAAGAGAATCTGCTGCCCATTTCCCAATTTCCACATTACCATGAATTCTACATGAGCTGAGTAAGGTGGCCCAACCAATTGCATCAGGATGGAAAGGCATTTTATCAATAAAACTTTTTGCTTCTTCTAACCTTCCGGCTCGGCTGAGAAGGTCAATCATGCAAGTGTAGTGATCATGAATTGGTGTAATTCCATGTTCTACTACCATTGAATCAAAATACCGATGTCCTTTCTCCACCAATCCTGCTCTACTGCAAGCTGAAAGAACACCAATGAAAGTAACTCCATCAGGTTTGAAACCATGGGCCAGCATCTTTTCGAACAAATAAATTGTCTCATTGGCCTTTCCAAACTGCGCATACCCTGAAACCAATGCTGTCCAAGATACTTCATCCCTGATATTCATCTCATTGAATAGCTGATGAGAATCTTCTATACTTCCACATTTACCATACAAAGTTACAAGTGCATTGGAAACTGTGACATAGGAAATCAAACCAGACACTAGGGCTCGGCCATGAAACTGGGCACCCTCTTCCAAGCTAGCCAGATTTGCACAAGAGCTGATTACACTTCCAAGAGTAAAATCATCTGGCTCAATCCCATTTCTCTGCATTTCACAAAATATCCTAACAGCTTCTTCGCTGAACCCATTCTGTCCATAACCCACTAGCATTGCAGTCCACGATACAACATTTTTCCTAGTCATTCTCTTGAAAACAGATGCTGCAGATTTTATGTTCTTGCACTTGCAATACATGTCAACAAGAGCACTTCCCACAAACACATTACCTGTATAATCAGTCCTGATTATATAAGCATGAATCTGCTTCCCTTCTTCCAAGGTCAATAGTCCCCCACATGCAGTCAATACACTTCCAAAGGTAAACTGATCTATAGTAAAACCTCCCAATCTCATCTCTCTAAATAAATTAATAGCTTCTCTCTCCAAACCATTTTGTATGAGTCCTGTAATCATTGTTGTCCATGAAATCGAGTCTTTCTCCTCCATACAACAAAACAGCCTCTTTGACTCCTCAACCAACCCACATCTCAAAAGCCCCGTGATCATCGTATTACGCATAACCACAGTCTTCTCAGTCATCCCATCAAAAACCCGCTTCGCATCATATATGAACCCCATTTTCGCATACATATCCACCAAAGGACTACCAACGAAAACATACGACTCAAACCCAAGTTTCACGATTTGCCCATGGATTTGTCTCCCCAAGTCGATATACCCTTCACTCGAAGACAGTATAAGCATCGTTGAAAATGTAATTCTATTCAAATTACCAAGCCCATCTTTCAACATCAAGTTATAGACCTTAAGTGCTTCATGAACAGAACCATGACTTGCATACCCTGAAATAAGTAAATTCCAAGAAACTCCATCACGATATGGCATGGTATTAAACATGTTTAGCATTTCTGAAAGCTTCCCAGATTTTGAATAAGTGGAGAGAATGGTGTTCCATGAGAAGAGGTTTGGCTGAGGTATCCTGTCGAACAAGTGGCGTGCATAATTTATGTTGCCTAGTTTACTATAAGAATTAATGAGATTATTAAACAGGAACGTTTCTGGGTTAGTTAAGGTTTTGATAATAAGGCCGTGGATATTTTTCACCTGTGTTTGGTTTCTAGTTTCGCAGCAAAGTTTTAGCAAGGAAGTGTAGTAGTTAGAGGGTGAAGACATTGTTAAAGTATGTTATTGGCGGGAACAGCTGTTGGCCTGTTGCGGGTTTGTATTGTCAGAAAACAAAACCCTAGAAAAGTTCGTAGTGAAAGATGGGCTCCAGTTTCTTTTAGATTGTGAAGCTAAATCGGTGACCAGGGTGCTAACTAAATAAAAAAGAAAAATTGGTAATTAAATGTGCATAGAGACTATAAAAAGATTTTATTCGTTTCAGTAGTTTCCCACATGAATTTTAGTGAATTTGAAACTTGTAAGCAGCAGATCTTGAACTTGAACAGCTGTCTGTCATGATTAAAGTCAAATTCAATATGAATTAAAAACTAAACCTACCATATAAACAATATGATCCCTCTGAGTTTCACCATCGAGGGGCTCCAATTGAGACCTTAAAATTCCAGATTCTAATCAATTGTGGCATCGTTAAAAATCCAAATACATTAAACCATAAGCTGAAGGGTGAAAGGGTTTTTCATGTTCTTGTGCATTGAACAAATGACGAAGCATTAGCAATGAAAATTTAGACTTGAGTGAGTTTGAGTCAATAATGTTAATTAGAATTGCCATTTTTGTGCTCCATCAACCTGGCTTATTCATTTATTTGATTAATTATATCTGAATCTCATAGCTGATATGCGATTGCTTTCTATCCTAACTCTGCCAAACAGATTCTTAGATTTATATTCCTTTGGACTGTTACTAATTAAAAATCCTTACTAATATCCACTCAAGACTTTTCATGTGCAATTTAATCTCTTATTCTGCAGGGAGATTTTTTGCTTAATCGGATTAACATAAGACAAAAGATTGAGGACGGGACCTGCACATATTGCTGGCTAACTGCCATGATAAAATTTGGCCACTTCAAGCTCTTCGGAATGGAAGCTAATGAGAATCCCATGAAGATTTATATGAAAAACACAGCAGAAACATTATATATACGTTTTTATTTAAAGGGTGCCAGGAAAGGTCAATAATTAATTTTGAATAATAAGAAGGGGGAAATGGAATAACATAGCATTTGTCAATATATATAATTAACGTACAGCTTCCAACTCTGAGTAGAACATGAACTCCAAAGGCTTTAACACTGCTTTCTTGTAAAAATTACACTTGTATCTGATGAGACACCAGTTTGTCTACCAATCTATTCTTGGAATATTAACCTATACATTCTGTGATCCAGACATTATCTCACTCAAGGCGCAATTCTACTCTGGTGAATAATTTCTTGCATATATATTTAATGCTAATACAACAAACATGTTCACTGCCGCATCATGTATGAGGGCCCTCACTACTAAGAGGTGATCCGCTGCTTTAGTTATGAACTTATCAATCAAGCTCAGTAACAGGTCAGTAGCATCTCAATTGACAGATTAGAGTTGAAGTAGGAACATGGTCATAGTCTATATTTAATCATCATCTAAGTATGGAAAGAGGAATACTCATGAACTTCGCCATCTCCCCAAATAGTAGTGCAAGTAAATATGCAGCCCTAGTAGTCTGTTGGTATAAGTCCGACAGAGAATGATCAAAGTTCAACCTTCATAAGACCGGGTGTCATAGACCCTGCAAATGCAGTAAACATCTCTGCTATAAGCTCAAGAATACACAAGACTCTTATAGAGGAGACTACCAAGTTATACCATTTACATCTTGGCTATCGGGGGGAGCACTAGTTCCATAGCTCATCTGGACAACATTGTGGAGCTCATCCTCCCAGACATTGGGTACCTATATCCAAACACATAAAATTAGAATGTGAATTGCATCGCTCCAAGTACTGAAGGCTGACCAGATGGAGTAATTGCCATTAAATTTTAATTCAACTGTGGTAAATATATAAATTTCAAATTATATAAATAACAAAAACATTTGGCCAGCACACTCATGAGTTGTGACCATATTCAAAGAAACAAGAAAGGGGGAGGGGGAGGGGTGTTAGGTTGAGATTCCCCAGATCCCCTAATGTATCAAGACTTTAACATTCCCCTTATGATGATCTATAGAGAGATACCTGAGCAGTATCCTTGAACCCTCCAGTCATGGGTGTCAACTGGGAATTAATAGTTCTCCGAAGTATGTCAGAAGAGTTTCCCATACCAGGAAGAGCAGCTTGCATAAGTCCTGGTTGAGATGGATGTAATGGAGGATAAGCCATAGGCATATCTGGAGAAAACCCCAAAGTAGATGAAGGACCAGCTCGTGACTGAAGGATCTGCATAGATAACAAAAAATTTTGTAGTCCAAGTTAAAGACCCATGCATACACAAGGAAATGTGCAATACTGAAATGTGAACCAATTCGCTTACATCTTTTGGCAGGAGCCCTTCTATGTTAAAATCCAGCCGTGGATTTACTGTGGCGAGTTTCATCGACAGAAACTGGTATAACAGCAAGGAAAGACTAATATTACACACATTAACTACAAAAAAAGAATAGACGATTTCCAAATGAAACAAATATATTAAAATTGATAAAGCTGTTCATAGAAAATTTAGATAGCAATATCTGCAAAGAATTATCAATCATTTATTGTGTCACAAAAGCACAAAACTTACGAGAAAGACCAGATAAGCGATTATGCTGTTTCCTTCAAAATCAATACATGACAAAATACACAAATTGTAGAATATATGCAACCCATACATTTCTCAGAACCTTTGAGGAATAAATTGTTCATGCTGCCAGAAGCCATACTGGCCAACTATGATGTACAAATTAAGAACTCCATTACCTCAACCTGCCGTTGCAGTGATTGTACATAGTTTATAATTTCATCTAGCATCACAGCCTTGCCAGTGACCTGCAAAAACCAAAGGATTATCTTTGACATGAATTAAAACACAAAATTCCCCTGAGAATTTGCTTTAATGGCACTTCCTAAGCTATCAAATCCAAAAAAATATACCTTGCTGCAACCAGGTACAAGGTCTTGGAGAAACTTCATCCTCTCACTTATCTTTTCTCTTCTCACCTACAAGCCAATCAATGTTTTCTAAATTTATGCACTAAATTATAAAGGTTGCTTGTATTTAATAAAAATTTCCAAATAAAATCTTACTCTTTCAGCAAGACTATGGCTATTTGTTGCTTGGCCTCTTCGAGCTCTAACATGAATATATTCTTCTTTTGGTGGATCTGAAGTTTGAGACCCCTGTTTTCCATGTTTTCCAGCAGCCTTGTTTGTGGTTGAAGTTGGGTTTTGGTCCCCTTTCGGTTGATTTTCAGCATCATCTTTTGCACCGTCACCAGATACCTGGGCTCCCCTGGTTTGATCAGGTTCAGTATCCTACCAAAAAGAAAAAGAAAAAAAAAGCACGGTAAATATAAATAAATAAAAAAAATGAAGGGATATGTTACCAATTTTTTATTTTTTATTTTATTTTTTTTCTAAAATGAAAAATTAGCATCCACCTGCCCATTCCTTTTTCTTTTCTTTGCGGCAAGGCCCTTGGCAGAAGGTTCCCCACCTGTACCCTCCAATGCCAATGGCTCATCCTGACCATCACCACCACCGCCACTGAACTCAGCTTCATCAGACTCATTACCAGAAACGCCAACACCTTGTTTTGCTTCTTCATGAGATCTCACAAGGCTCTCGCTTTTTCTTTCATTTTTTAGTGGGCTCCCATCAGTGGCTCCGTGTTCAACAGACAAGGAAGGATCTCTAGATACTTCAGCCACATTCATCTCATTCTTCTGAGACTGACCACCAGATACTGATTTCAGCCCACTGCCGGCAAAAACTTCTTGTGGCCCTTGCATAATCCCCCCACCCCTAGAATAGAGACCCATTGATTCAGGAACACCAAAAGTGTTCACCATGTCATTAAAATTTCCACCACTGAAGGAAGAAAACCTGGCGGCTCGTTCAATGAAAGCGGAATCAGCTGGAAACTGAGATAAGCTCTGCGGGAACATTCCAGGCACACTTGGTAAGAAAATGCCTCCCTTCAGTATTGAAGCAGGAGGATTCCATCCCATATCAAGAGGTCTATCAATACTACTTCTCAAAGAGGCCGGACTGCCTTTTCTAATTCCTAATGCATTTGAGGCGCTTGCATTGTTTTGGACATCAATATCCAAATATCCCAAGTTTTGTGAACTGATAGGATTCTGCCAAATGGTTTGGTGAAATGAGTCTACCATGGGAGCAGATGAACACGAAGAAGAACCAACTGCCATGGGATTATTGCTGGGGACCAAATTAATAGGCGCACTTGCTAGATTGGCACTGCTATATCGCCAGTCTGAGGACATATTAGATGAATGGTAGTTCATAGGATTATCATTCCTCTTTTCTAGCTCAAATTTATCCTTGTCACTCATATCCATCTCTCTTTAACGAGAATAGCAAAGTAGCAGACAATAGAAACCCTTTCTCTCACAATTGTGTTTGAACAACCAGCAAGTAATCTCTAGACATCTACAACAACAGAATTTGAAACTTAAAAATTGACCACCTCAAAAGCCCTAATGGCTGGATGAGATTAGCCAAAGATCAAATGGTAACAGGGACTACAAAACAAAACAAATGAAAAACTATCTAATTCCCAAGCATATACTATATTATCACTTCAGAGAGAAGTTTCACCCAAAACCAGAAAGTTTGAAACTTACAATATACGAAACTTCAAAATCATCTCATAGATATGCCTTCAGAAGCTGAATCCATCCGGCAGGCATGGAACAAAGGATGAGTGTGAGCTAACAAATGAAGCTAACCACAGTTTTAAAGAACTAAACAGGAGAGACCCACTTCAATAAATGAGGTTATAGACCTAACAAGAGATTGAAACAAAGACTCGGATTACCAAACTTATGCACCAAAGATCACACCAGCATTTCCAAAGTTAACACTGAACTTGAAGTACCAAAATTACGCACAAAAAAAAAAAAAAAAAAAAGCAACAGGTGAAAGACAATAAAAGAAAAACAGATAAAAAAAGCTGAAAGAAGAAGTGCGAAAAAGCCTCAAGGGAAGCAGTCAATTAAGCCAGCAAAAGAAAGCAAATATTGATTTCAGTACAATAAATACACCCCCCATTCAAAACCCTAGTCAGAGATAATCAGAAACACAGAGAAAGAGAGAGAAAGCCAACTAAAAGCGGCAAAAGAAATATACTCATTTCAGATTCTGTTCTACTTTTGGTACCCTGGTCACCATTGAAGCTTTTCACCTCACAAAAACACAAAACTTTATTGAATTCAGCTTCTTCTCTGTTCAAAACTGGCCTCTTGCTAACATAGACAACAAGAAAGTTGAAAACTTTAGAGAGAGAATAAAAAACAAAGAAATGGGTATTTGAGGAGAGAGTGAAAGAGAAGAGTAATGGCAAAGGTCCTGCATTTATACCCACGCTTGCATCAAAAAGAGAGCTTCTTGATCATTAACAAGTAACCACCGCCACTGCTACTGTTAAAATTATTATAAAGAGTTAAACAACCTTTCTTTTTTAACTTTCACTTTAATTAACTTTAAGTTTTGTTTAGTGTATATTTTAACTCACAATTATACCAGTTTGAGCTAGCAACTGACATTGCCAACTCTTGCTAGGAGGGCTTTTTGTAGTTTATTACAATGTCTTTGATTATGTCTTGGAACCAGAGCTTCAAGATCTTTAATGGGGTTTGTTTGGTCAAGAACCCAAAATCTAGCTACCTCATTTCTCACTCTTTTAATTTTTCTTTTTCTTTTTCTGGGTTCAATTAATTAAGCTAGTTTAGCTTAATCTGTTTATAAATTCTTAAATTAAGTTGATTTATTTGTTTATAATTTTTATGGGTTTATAAATTAAACTTATAAGCTAAAAAAAAATAAGTTGGGGTAAATATTTTTTTTTTTTCAACTTATAAGCATTTTGTTTATGAGTTAATTTGATCAAGTATATTACCACATTATCTTTATTTAATTTTAAAATTTTATCGTATAATTTATTAATTGATAAAATAAAATAATATCATTTTTAGTCATTTTAATAATAAAATGTATTTATACATTTTATCAAACGTGTCAACTACTCATCAATCATTTATAAATATTTTAACTAAATACATAACTGTTTAAAATTTTAAATACTTATAAGAAGCACTCATTACTTATAAACTAATTTTCGCAAGCTGAATGACATGAGGTTTTGTATTATTTTGAGGAAGACTTGTATTTTATTTTCATTTGTGTGATACTATCCTGTCTTATCTCTTTCTTTCTTTCTTGGGTTTTTTGCTGCTAAAACTTAGAAAAATATATTATGGTTAAATCTTTTATTTATATTGTCTTGGGTTTGTGATTTGTTAAAATGTATGATCAAGTAAAATGTATGTAAATTGAATGGAATTAAGTATTGTTATGGTGAGTTAATGAAGATAAGAAATTGGCGAGATTGATGACAAATTGGTGGAATTGATAGTGACGATAGGACATTTGAATTGTTCCTTCTCTTCTCCTACCAAAATTTCAACATTTATCCAGCACTTATGTACCTAATTATCTCTACATTACTGTTTACCTTACAAATCCAAACCATTTATTATTTCTAAAAACAAGTCATTTTACTTATCGAAAATATCATTTCGATGACTTCAATGTTGTTGAAAACTGTTTTTTTTTTTTCCGAAGAGAAAAGTATAACCAAAAGTATAAACATTTAACTAGTATAATATTTATAACATATATATGTAATATCTATAATCATATGTTAATACATAATATATCATTTGGTATTTTGATTGATTATAATAAATCAATAAATCATTATAGATTTAATTTCTTTCTTAATGGTATATTATAATTTTGAGAAAATGATAATAAGGACACAAAAAGACATCAAATCTCAAAACGGGAAATTCAGAGAGTAACGGGCTATGGGTCGGGATCAGAGAATATCATTGGACTTTCGAGCCAGGGCCGAAGATAGGGGTCCTGGCCTGGGCCCGCCCGTACCCATCCCTCGATTTGATGGTGGTTAACTTAATTGAGGCAATATTTGGTTTATTAAGATAATCTGAAGTGGTTGGAGTTGAGTTGACCCGTCAAATTGGAGCTCTTGTGGGTTTTTAATTAAAAAAGAAAGATAGGGGTGATACATGGAGAAGAGAAAAGAAGAGGAGTAATGTATAATTATAGATTATATTATAATATTGATGGACTGTCCTTTTCTCTCTTTTTCTCATGTCATTATTAGTTGGCCTTGGGACTTGTAATTTCAAAGACCTAAGCTTTAGAATAATGGAATCTCTCTCACACTTTACCTTTCTTTTTATTATTTCTATAACCCTAAAAATCCCATTGCTTAACCCTATGCTTTCTTTTGGCCAAATTGCAGGTAAAAATCATTCGTATTGATTGGGTTGGTTTCACTATGTAATGTTATTGTTTTCAACATTTTTAATTACTATACATAAATTTTATACAACCCATCTATTTTTTTATTTTATAATGTTATTACAAGGGACGGTCTCAAGGTTTAAACAAAAAAATTCAAATAAATGAGTAAACTTCTTTAACTGTCAGATCAACTATTTAAGGTTACATATAAATCAATTTTTTCAAATGTATATAGTAGTATTATTCATACAATTTTTCTTTTTAAGTTGTATATGTATGTATACATTACTAGAGTACCGCCTTATTGGAAATATATATCCTTGATTCTAAGTCTTGACCTATAATAAAAAATTATACAAGCATACATTTAGTATTGTTTCTTTTGGGCTAAATATATAAATAAGTGTGTACATTGTACAAGAAACCATAAACAAAAATCTATGAGAGTATAGTCCAAAGGAGAAGACAATGAAAATAATAATAATAAATAATGTAGAATAAAAAGTTAAACAACCAATTAAAGAAAGGGAAAGAGATTCCTTAGTTAATAGAATAAGAAAAAAGAAGTAGACCAATGGGAAGTTACCAACTGAAACTGGGATTGCTCTTGAATAGGAGATGAATTGATTGGTGTTGTAAATACCAAATGGAAGAATAATTTAAAAAAGAAAATGAGAGCTGTTTCATGTTTGGCAATGGCTCTCCTTTTGGGAAATCTCAAGCAACCATTTACCAAATCCCATTCAATTCAAAGCAACATAACATTGGATGGGGAGTTGGGGATTCGAGATCTCTTAACCAGAGTTTTTACAATTCTTTAAACTGAATCATTGATCATTACATTACTCTCTGTTTATATTAGCTTTAATCAATTAAAGAAACGCACGTCTTAGACTTTATATTATATATCCCAATCTAATGCTGTACTTACACTGTTTAAAATTCTATTAATTAATCCTTTTACTTTACTTAAAAGCATGCTCCTACAAAAATAATTCATCTGGGTATTCTTAATTCTGCTTATATTCATCTGGGTATTAACTTAAAACACAAATACCCATTTGGTAATCCTCAGTTGTGCATTAACTTATTATATAACAGCTCATTCTTTTGACTTGCTCAGCTCATTAATCCTCTTAGACTGTCTCCCTATATATATCTTTGATTTATTTCAACTTGCCAAAAACAGTGCTACCCATAAAGCTATTAATCATTAACATTGTAAGATTGGTACCCAAAAAGAGCAGAGTTGATGATGTTTGAGTCCAACAATTTTCAAAAGGTGATGCCATTAAAGGTTCTAAAGGAATTTAATGTTGCAAATTAGGGTTTAGGAATTGTTTGAGTTATGAATTTCATGCAAACATAATTGATAATTGCAGCAGGGCATGATGAGATGTGTAGTTGAATGAATGATAAAATTTCTAACTTTTTTAAGCCACTTTTGGGTCACCTTTTCTCAGACCCCAGTTGCATAAGATTCACCTTTTTTCTGTTAAGAATATGCAACACTACGCTAGAAAATGTGATCCTCCCACCCTTTCACTTTAATTTCTTCACTCACTAGAAAATGGGACCCCATTTGGTTTAGATTATTTCATTTTCCAACCAAATTAATTTTACTACTTTTTCCCACCCAAATAATGGCTTAATGACACTTTCCCACCTACGAATTTTTAAAATACCATTTTACTACTCAAATTTATATTTTGACGACGAACTGAGAGCAAACTTGGTTTAGGTTGTTGGAGCTTTTGAAGAAGGGAGACCAATGAGTCTTTTGGTGGTAAAATGTTAGATTTTGATGATTATGATTGATTGGAATTTAACTTGGGAGAGGCGGTTATGCAAACCCTAATCGCTCGATTGCCGACGATTGACGGGGTTGGCAGAAGTAAGGTTTGAGGGGTTTTGGTGAGTGATGATCGGAGAAGAGAATGGTGGTAGTGTGGGGTCGCAATGATGCTAGAATCAGAAACTGAATATAAATTTAAATAATAAAGTGGTATTTTAAAAGTTTATAAGTGGGAATGTGTCATTAAGCCATTATTTGGATGGAAAAAGTCGTTTACTCCATGTAAAATGTATAATTAAATAATACTTCTAGCTTAATTAATCCCTAACCTATAAAGTTTGTTCAAATTCCTGCTTACTTATTTTTCATGAAACTCATACATCCCACATTCTTAAATGGCAAGAAAGCATGTATCAAGATTCAACTCCATATTTTATTGAGAATATGTATGCAATATATTCAAAGATATTAGATAAGTTTCACATTCAGCTCCACTGAAATTAAGGTTTGTAAGTGGTCTAGGTTTGGACTTCTAGTGTTCAAAAGTTGAATTCAAAAACAGGGATCTAATTTCTTGATGGACCCTTTTCATGTCTTCTCCTCTAAGGACCTGTAATTAACCTCTTTAACCCAAATGTCAAAAGAATGAAAAGAAAAAGAGTTTGTGCAGTTGTCGTCTCATCATCTGGTTTGATAAGTGTCTATATCATTGATAGACAAATCATACTTTCTTCACAAGTTCAAACAAAGCCAGTAGTCCCATAATGTAAAGTTTTATCAATAATGTCACCATCTATTGAAGAAATTGGACTGACCTAATCCTCAAAATATTGAGCCCCATTACACAAATGCTTGCCAAAATCTGTCCCTTATCGTTGATTTTGCTTTCGACCATACCATTATCAGAGAGATGCACCATAACCATTAGATCAATATCTTCTCATTTTTAAGATACCCATCCAATGGTTATTAAAAAAAAAAAAAAGGTTCCTAGCACATTACATTTAACTTGTTATCTCCAAACATAATCTTATGTGTTTTTTGTTCACAGTCCAATTGAAGGGACTTCACATCTTCACCTAACCAATACACGAAATTGAACCTATAGTACATTTGCTTTTTCAGATGTGTCACACTCACCCTTTCTTGGTGTTTTTCTTAGTATTTTATAATTAATTGTTAAAAGTTTGCTAAACGTCTAATATTGACTTAAAACAGAATATCCAACAACTTATAGTAAAATTGACCTAACCATGCACCG